ACCACACTCTTGGGGTTTTCTTCACAAACTGTTGTATAGATGGTGATTTGTTTTGAATTGACATGAGCTTATGGTTGTGCAGTCTCTACTGTACATGTATCGCTCTGTGGTATTAGTATGAGGATTTGGAGCAAGCTACACTAGATTAACACATCATAAACATCTTTATGGACCTCTCTCATTAGGAAGCCCTGTGCACTTCATTAGCTTTAACATTAACATACAAACTCATCTGACATCTCACTATTTGTTAGTCTTTGGCAAACAATCTTTTGTACAAACTGCAGAGCTTCAAAAAGCCTCAGTGAAAAAAGTCTCTCTTAACAAGTCATTTATTTTTAATTAAGTCTTATGTTTTGACTTTTATGCCAAGAAGATTAAAAAAAAATCAGTTAATGAAGAAAATGGGCAAAACTATCAAATGCAGTCTTTCTATTGAAAAGTTACATTTCCTGCATGTGCGGCTTAACATGTATGTTTCTACCTGTGTTTAGACACAGAAAGCATCACTGGAATTTGTGTGTCCAATGTGTAAGCATATATAAACCTGCACTTACGTATTTGGGGGCACAATCTCACTCTCACAGACTCCTTCCCTGCTTCCATCCATCAATATTGAATCAACTCCAATGCTGTAGAGTCTGCTGGACTCTATAGATTTTTCGTTTTCAGGACTGTGACTTCATCTTGCCAGGCATAGACATGCTCATGAATTGATCTCCTCCCTCCTCAGCAGTGTAAAATTATGACACATATTTTTTTTTCAATTGAGGTGGCGATCACTTGTCACATGTTACATCTCTTTAACAACCAAGTATTTATACACTAATGGCTTTGTTACTTTGCTTGAAAATTGTATGAAATCATTCAGATTGGCATAAAAACTGAAGTTGTAATATAATAGCAATAATACCATTATAATGTTAAGTTTGCCTGGCACATAAAGGGAAACAACAATGTCACAAGATACAACAATAAATGGCAATATAAGTTATTGACTAAATTCATCAGTTAAGTGTTAATTTGATCTTTTCACTTTCATTGTCTGTCACATGATTCATGTTAAATACCAATTATCAGATTTGAATGAAACCATGGAAAATTATATGATTGATTTTTTAATTGCAGCGTTTATCTCCAGGACTTACTACTTACTCATTTCCTATTACTGCAGATTGTTTATTTGTCCACGTATCAGCTATCGTTTCTTAGACACCACTGATCGAGTTCTGATGAAAGCTAATGAAAACTTACAACTGCACTCTGCCGTTTTCAACATGACACTGATCGTTGAATTGTGCTGCAATCACAAGTCAGAATGAGGCGACATTTCTTATTAAATGACTGTAGTGGGAAGAATTTGTGGAGGATGACGCCCTTTAAGTTCTTTTCCAAATCAAGGACAGAGGCTGCTGCATGTTGTGAATATAAACCAATTGAGGGTATAGCTTCAGAGTCTAGATCTGTATCAGAAGTTTTGACATGATAATCCTGATCTGTGTTTTTCATTAACTCTGAGTCTTCCTGCTCAGGAAATAGTTTACGCTTCCAAGCCTAAGTTGAGGGAATTGGGGAATGGCTTGAAGAACTGTGGAACCAAGTGGGAAAGAAGAAATAGTGCCAGTAATATTAGAAGTGATAAATGTGGTGCCTTGTTTTAATGTGTCCCTGTGTTGCACAGAGCAGATCTCAGCTGTGATGCTGCCATGTTTAAAGGTCCCTATCTCTGTGTATCTGTGGTGGATGATGTCATTAACACTTCCCGGGTTTGGGGGTTGATGATAAAATCATGAGCACTCCAGATAATGAAAGATGCTTTGGACAAATGTGCAATATGCAGCTTTTTTTTAATGTTCTGTTATGTGTGTATGCTTATTGACACACAAAAACAACTCATGGGAATATGTTTGTGCACATACATCTGTTTTTGCTTTTTTATTTTATACTTGTACTCATGACAGTGAGATAGACTTTGCACGAGAGGCCTGCAAGGCTTCTACTTTCTGTCAGAGCCTGCAAATCATTGTGTACCCTTTATTGTGAGACTCTGCAACGTTATATTTTGTGTCTGTCCCTATTTTATGTCCGTGTGAGTTTGCATTAGAAACTGTCTTTTGTAGCAGAAGTGGGTCTTTGTTTAAACCCATGAGGGTTCATTACTGTGATCCATCTCCCCCTGTGTTGGTGCCAGCACTAACATACTGTGGCATCTATGCACTGCAGCTATTTTTAGTTTCGTTTTGCGCACGTGTTTGTAGATAATTCGTCTTCATATGCATTTGTTTTTTGCCTTATGTGAATTAGTTTCTTGTTTATACTCACAGTGACAAATAGCCACTATTTTCCCATCAACACTTGTAATCTGTGACTGTCCCCCAGTATTTATCTTGATACTCCAAAATATGCTACTTGAGCTCCAGCACTTCCTCAGACAAACATCATCGGTTTCAATCTTTTCCTTGAATTTCCAGCCACTGCTACCTGGTCTAATAGCTACACTTCTCTGTAGAGATGGATTGGTTTCAGGATATGAGGATGTCTTTACCCTCTCTGTCCATGCCCTTGTTTTTTTCTCCCTTTCTCTCTCCCTCTTTTCTATTTTCTCTTTTCCATTTAATGATGTAAGACAGTGAAAAGTTTTAAGTATATCAGTGTTGATACTTAATTATACTCACTTATATGTGCATATTTGTATTCATCTCCTGTATTTGTTTTGCGACAGAGAACATTACTGTCACTCTCAAACAGGCATAGATGCTTAGAAATAGCTTTTAGTAGTTACAGGTGAAGTTTCTGCTGAAAATATTAGAAATTTGTCTCTGCAAAATTGAAGTCCTCAAATATTATTAACACATTTCAGATGCATTTCACAAATAATGAATGAACTGATAATAATAATTGATAATAATAATAAAGATAATAATAATAATAATAATAATTAAACAGATGCGGGAGATGTGCTCTGATGACAACATGCTTGTGTAAAAACATTAGTTGCTGCACCTTATTCAATAACTCATGTACTCTTGATCACATCACTCCATTATAGAAACATTTTAAAGAGGTTCACACATAATATAATGTAAATAATCTATTAAAATAGACCATGGTCGGGGCGTCGAGTGGCGCAGTGGTCTAAGCAGGCGCCCCATATGTAGATGTATTCCCCCTCTCTCTGCCTCCCCATTTCCTGTCTCTCTATACTATCCTGTCCAATAAAGGCACAAAAGCCCAAAAAAAACCAAAAAAATAGACCATAGTAATATTGTTAAGTAGGATTGCATTCTGTGAGTCTCTACTTTAATACTTAATGCTGCTCATCTTCCCTTCCTGCTGATTTCACAATCAACAACATTAATGATTAAAGGTCTCACTAAACAAACATAGACTTTAACATATCCTCCTTCTGTGCTAGCATCAGTAGTATAGTATGATAGTAGAAGGTATTTCTAAAAGCACCTACCAAGTTACAGTGCAAAGGAGATGAGATGCATGTTGAACTTTGAGGAGAAGTCTCAACTTGAAGTGACACAAGGACTCATTTCAAAATCAGAAGTGACAGGAGCTGTCACTACAATAAGTACACGTATGCAACGTTCTGCCAATGACTTCTGTCAGAGAAGGCCCACAGTACAGAAAACCATCAAATGCTTCCAGCACAGAGAGTTTGTGGTATTGCCCCCCCCCCCCAACAAAAGCAATAGTCCTGCTGTGAGGACAATTAAATTAGTCCTGAAATATTCTAATATGAGTCTTTCTGAACACTTAAATGTCTTTCTCAGATCATTAAATCAGTCACATACATGTAAAATTTACACCAAAAGTAGCTTATATAAGCGCTCATATTGAGTCTGTGTGACTCAATGCCAGTGTTCTCATCTTTTAGGGAAGGAGGTGTTACTCATCTCATGGGATTGGTTTCTATCAATCTAGTTCCTTTCACTCGCTCTTGACCATTTGTCTGTCTTTTTAACATGATTGTGTGTGTGTGTGTGTGTGTGTGTGTGTGTGTGTGTGTGTGTGTGTGTGTGTGTGTGTGTGTGTGTGTGTGTGTGTGTGTGTATGTGTATGTGTTTGTGTTTGTGTGTGGTTACTGATTATAGAACTGCACAGATAAAACTGATTAAAAAGCAAGCCTGAATTTGTGGCGATGGCAGTTTTGATTCAATATTCTCCGCAGCAGTATTAATATCTGAAGTCTCTGCCTTTTCTGGCTTTTGTCATGTCTACATGTTTGAAAAGCAGTCTATTTTTGTCCCAGCACAAAGATTATGAGTCTGTGTGTTTCACTGAGAATATTAAATCTGATTTCAATTTGAGCGGGTCAGCCACACTAACACACAGGAATGAAATTCATTGTTTAACACAGAACATGCTGACACACTAGGAACAAAGACAACAGAATCATAACTACACACACACACACACACACACACACACACACACATATATATATATATATATATATATATATTCATTTTTCATGCATCTTCAAAGGAGGTGGGTGGTATTTATTTGCCTAAGTGTATGAAGCTGTTTAACTGAAGTCTGGCCCACTGACAAAAGTCATCACAGCATAATAGCTTAAAAGCTTTCAATAAGATTAATGTATAGAGTATATCCATTGACTTATGTGGTGTGTGTGCTCTGCATTAATCATTAGTCATTAACCACTTGGCTTACAGGCTACTACTGCGTGTCTTTCTAAGATATCAAAGTCTTTTCATGCGTATAAGTCGGAAAGATCTAGCTGCACACCTGTAAATCCAGGACACAGTAAACTCTGATTACCGACCTTCAAGTCAACACTTGGATGATGCTGAATAAATTCTGAATCAGTGACACCTGTTGCATTTGTGTAACAATAATTTCAAGGATTTTATGTTCCTCGTGCCTCATTTAAAGCGGTTTACATGCTGCTTTTTCTGCTTGTATGTCTCTGCCATTAACTGTACTGTCTTGCCGTGGTGTTGCCCTGGCTGGTGTGTGTTGTCTTCTAGGCTCATGTGGGTCAGCGCTGACTTGTCCGTCAGGTCAGTATTGTGAGCTGTGAGAGGTTGGCCGAAGCCCGAGGAATATGGTTCTTTAATAACAGAGTAAATATGATGCTTGTATACATCCTTGTGTACACTTTGCTTACTTCTTCAGCACGTTGTTTGTGTGTCCCCATCAGCTGCAGTGGGGTTTCGTAAGGCCGTTTTCGTAAATGTCACCTTTCTATGTCAAGAAAGAACGCTAGCAATGAGTATTTCCACTGATGTTGGCTGGTGTGAACTGGATTTCCCTTTCGACAACATTAGTGAATCAGTATTTCATTAGAAATGTGATAAAATAGAGTAACTAACCCCACTTTTTTTTTTTGATAAAAGTCTGTTTTAAAAATTTAAAAACACAATTACATAACTTTTTTAGACTGACTTTTTTTTTTGCAGTGTGGTGGCGGTTGTGTGTTGCTGTTGCTTCTTTTCATGCCCCTGTGGTCACTGAGCTCAGGAAAACTGCTGTGTTGTTGTGACCTTGCTAGCACGTTTCTAGTCACGCTCATTTGTGCTTTTCCGGTGCCGTTGTGTGTCTCACCTCACCAACTTTGCCACTTTCCAAATGTTAAATGATCATTTGTTTTAATAGTTGAAATCCAAAACACAGTCTAGTAGTGCGGCTCCAACAGAAATATTAAGTGTGAAGCTGAAATTGAAACATACTTCTGGTCACGGAGGTTTTCTGAGGTAAACATTTCTCCGTTATGAAAATGAGAATGTAAAATTGAAAATCTATTGGTTCACTGGCTGCGAATTGGCTTCATATTCAATCAGCGTATCACCTGAGGCAGTAGACTACATGAGATAAAGTGTGATACTCTTTCGTGTCCACATGTAGGTCCTTTTGGCCCAAGAATCACGTCACAAATGTTTTAACACCTAAAGACCCCAAATAATAGAGTTGATTGTGTGTGTCAGAGAAAGAAGGTAAATGGCAGGAATGGGAGAGGCAGCAGAAGGAAAATCAGATTTACATCCAGGCAGGTTAGAGAGAAAGAGAGGGAGCATTTGTACAGCATGATGCATAGTGAGGGGTTTCAGTAATCTGATCATTTGGTGTAACTGAGCCGATGATTACAAATAAAGTAGAAGTGAACTGGTTCACAGCTCTCATGTCAGTGATAGAGGGAAGACTGAAAGGGTGGAAGGGGCGGTAGTGGAGGAAAATGGATTCCAGCCTGACAGCAACATGAACACAAACTGGTATCGAACGAGTTTGTGGAATGTGGTGTGTGATTTTTCATTTTCTGCAAAATGCGGTCAGCTCATGGCTCAATGCGCACACGCTCACGCACACACACACACACACACATACAGAAAATTACCTGCAGTCATTAACGAACGCATACTTCAGACGATGAAGGCACATAGAAATCTGGTTCATGGAGCAGCGGTGTGGAGGCATGGGGAAGAGGAGGAGGGATGCAGGTGGAGACTATGATCAGTGACATATCATGAACACACCACTGCACAGAAGAAGAAGAAAAAAAAAATGAAAGGAGTTAACTGTGAAATTAGAAATGGCTTGAAGCTGTCGAATGAAAGTCACAACATTAATACGTGTTTTCATATGCCAGTTTTCTAATTTTAGGATACTCATAGGAGGTCTGCGTTGTGTGACAGACAGGTAAAACATACAGTACCAACGCTTGGAGAGGCTCCTGTCAGTGGCAACGGCTGTTTGAAGTCCTGATCCTCAGTTCTCTTATGCTGAGTAATGTGTAGCTCTCATGTTCAAAGCAAAGAGATGAGGTAGTGAATATTGCTACCCTGACACTTAGTAATGGGATGCAAGAAAGTAGAGGCAGAGAGAAAAAACAAAACATATCAAAAGATACTATTAGATATCAACCAAAGCTGTAACATTTAGAATACACAGTGGCTTCGGAAGGCATTCAGACCCCTTGGTCTATTTAAGCAAGTAGGCTGCTCGGAAATATTCAACATGGCTTTTTGATGCAACAGAGGCCCTGAAAAACATATTGACTGATCAAATTGAGATTTACTTTACAGAATGTCAAAGGAGCTCAGTTCAGGTGGGAATCTAAGAGTCCAACAGAAAATAATGAGAGTAAATAGAAGTTGGAGGAGGGAGGAGGTTGTCAGAAAAGAAAATGATTTTATTTGTTTGTTGGATAAAATCTAATGCAGTGCATCATTCACACAAACAAAGAACCCTCGTTCCTGATGCATCAGCACAGATAAGAGATGTGAAGAGAGAAAAAAAAATATGTCTTAGTCATTTAAAAAGGGCATGTGTATCTTTCAGCAATTCAGTGTAATTAAAGCACTTGAGAATAACAGCTCAAAGAGATACGTAATTTTGCAGGTGACAGGGGTGGAGTGAGGGTCACGAGCACAGTGCCTTACGCAGTATTTCCTCTTAAGGGCATTGGAAACATCTCATTGTGCAGGTCAGCTGCATTACACTATTGGCTGATGAATGAATTCCAAGGTGGGTGTACAAACAACACACGGAGGCACACGCCACAGGAGCTTTCCTCTGAGATCAGACAGGCAGACAGTGGAGCTCGTGGCGAAGTGCGCTCGGCTATGAATGCCTGCCAAACTCACAGCGTGGGCGAAGCTCGACTGTAAGGAGTCTGACATTTTTAGCCTCTTACAGAGGGCAGAAGAGCCAATGAATGTAGTATCGTATTTCCTGTATGTAGTCTTGTGTCTTGTCTTAAAGTGATTGTTATATATTTTTTTTTTTAGCATGGATTAAGATACTGTATGTAACCTGACTGGGGCTTTTAGTGCAACTATATCCTGATATCGAGGATAATGTTGCTCTTGAAGTATCAGTGTATATTTCTGGTATTTGTGTATATTTCAGACCATAACTTTTGGTTGTGGACGAGGTATTAATGTGTTTGCAACATTATCTCTGTTGAGCTTTTATTTACTCTGAAAAGCTGTGTTGATCTGTGTTGATGCGTGTTTACGTACGTGCTCTGGTCTTCCTATCCTCTCCTTTTTAACCGCCCTCCTCTTTATTCATTGCAGGCTGATGCAGCCACGAGCTTTCTGCGTGCAGCTCGTTCAGGGAACCTGGACAAGGCTCTGGATCACATCAAGAATGGACTCGACATCAATACAGCTAATCAAGTAAGATAGTTTCTATCAGCTCACTAATCAGCTCACAATATGTTTTTCTGTGTGTGTCGCGTGTCAGTGAGAGTTAAAGAAAAAAGATGCAACTCTGAGATTTCAATTAACAAAACGACAAATTAAATTGTGGCTCATATCAAAAATCAATTGCAGTTAGTATTCATGATATTCAACAGTACCTGCTCCAAGCATCACACTCAATAAAAGATTACTCTTTAGTTGTTCTGAATATGAAGAAATGAAACAAACTTCAGAAGCACAGTCATATCTTGGTTTTTCATTTGAATTTTTTTTTTCCTCTCATGTTTTTACTGTTACTGTCAGTACATTGGTGTTCTTTTAATTTACATGGAAAACCAGTGGCTGGATGCAAAAAATGTCTATGGACGTTCTGTGGAGGAGTAAAAATCTGTTCTGCAAGAAGTGAGAACTGACTGAGTCAAATAGAAACTGAATGTGGATACAGTGGTCTTGAATATTAATAGAGAAATATGAAGTTGTCAGTATAAAGTAATAAATGAAAGAGTACTGCTGAGCTCATGCACATCATAAGAGCAGACCAAGGGAAGAGAACTGTATTACTTTAGTTGGTAATGTTACTCAGGAGAAATTTTTAGATAATATTTTTTATATAGCGGGGCAGAAATTCATTACACTTTATACACTCTTTTCCTTGAAACCACCTTCCAGTTCGTTCATTCATGCCCCAGAGCAGCATACTGGGGAAAAGCAAATAGTTTTGTCTGGTTTCACTGGTTCCTTTAGTCAATGCCCTCTGGCTACCCTTTTGTTCTGAGCATAAAATATAACACAGTGAGAGGCACCACTGTCTTTGGAGAGTACCCATTGTTAGACCAGTACGCTACGCCTTTTGCTGAGATCATGAGAAGCAAAAAGTCTGAGTGTCTTTGCTAAGATGTTAGATATAATCTTGATAGCAAATTTAAAAAAATAACCTTTAACCCATCATCAAATTGTTCGCAACAAATTCATTGATAGAAGTAGAATATGTCCTGCTGCATTGGATTTCATTCAGCGGATGAGTGGCTTGTTCTGTCTGCCGAGGGAACCCATAATCACAAAATGAAGAGTTATACCATTTCTTATTTTCTGACATATGTACATATATACTGTATATGTATATACACACATACACATATGTATATATATATATATATATACATATACATATATAAAAACGTTACAATGTTGGATGTTCATATTAAAATGGCCCAGGTTTCAAATGACTAGAAACTTTTACTAGCAACATTATCCCTGGTATTTCCTGACAGCAGACGTTTTACTCTTCAGTCTGCAGGGCAAATACAGGAAAACGTGCAAATACAGATTGTGATTGAAAGACTAAATCCACCATTATGTGCATATATATCAAACAATAAGCAGGTAGTGGGGGTAATATTTGCCAAACAGAGACGTCCTGCTGTAATCTTTGTTGCGGTGGATGTTGGTGTCGTCCACTATCATATTCTGGATCGGATTCTGGCTCGAGCTTTTAAGGAGGCCTGAGCTAATATTGCCTGTTTCGGTCACAGGCTCAACAGAGTGGCTGCATAACAGGCAGTTTGAGATAAATAAAGACTTTTTCTGAACTGTGAATCATGCAAAGCTACTCTAGTGGAGTCCCAGAATGAAAATATAGAGCTGGAAATTATCATAATGGGTCCCCTTTAAATAAATAAATGAAGAGAATGGTAAAATCACAAAGTTTTGCCTCTTGCAGAAGTGTCTGGTAGAGTATGGAACTTTTTATCATCTCACTGTGGGAACCAAAGAGCCTCTTCCCCCTGGTAAAAAGGTCGTGATTATAAAACAGGTTGAATGGAGAATGGTATTTAGGAAAGGCATTTTATTCCGCTGGGAAAGACCAAACTGTAGAAAGTTTGCTCTTAAGTCTTCAGAGGAATTTGAGTGCACCATGTAAAGTAATGCCACATTATTCTCAATGGAAAGTCATGCTGCCATATCAGCAAAATAAAGGATAAAAAATTCACAACTCATATACATCCCGATTCTCTATTTTTGTGTAAAGTGGGGTACATAAATCATTAAGTGTATTAGATTATAGTTTTTTCAATCCTCAGGCCCTCTGTGTGCTCTCTTACACCTTGTTGCATCATGACCATAACACAACAATGTCAGGCAAGTGAATATCATGAGACATGAATGTGAAAGTGTGAATGTGAATGTGGTTTGGACTCATTCACTCGTCACTATGTTGTAGTGTTAAGGATGGTGGGAGTGATGTTTGGTAAACGAAGGGGGCAAGTGCTTTTACACTCAGACCAAACACTGCCAGTGAGATGGAAGTCTGGGCATTAAGGATGAATGCCCAGCTCCCTCAGTGTGTGTTGTACTAAATATACAAGTAACACACACACACACACATACACACAGAAGATAAGATAGGGAAGACTGATGACTACTGAAATTAAAGGAAATGTGCATTTTGCACAATTCTCAAGGGTCGTTAACATCTGTGTATTTAGATTGTAATCAACTAAATAATGAGTATGGATAGGATCTACAATATTTGCATTTCATACCCACAACCATGAGATCAAATGTAATTCTAAAGGCCCTAAATTTGATTTTCCAATACAAAAATCTCCCTATATTTCCTTTTGCAAGTCTTTCTTTCTTGCCCGCTTATTTTTATTTTATTTTACTGTTATATTAATGGCTTTTTACTGTGGACTGAGGCAAGGGCAGAGATGGTATTTTTTATATGTGATGTATGGGATTCTGCTGCAATAACCTGTCCTTGCTATAGCTGAAATCCTGCAGGCTCTTGTTAGTGCTCTCTCTCTCTCTCTCTCTCTCTCTCTCTCTCTCTCTCTCTTTCCTTCTCTCTCTCTCAACACACACAAACACACACACACACACACACACACAAACACATATACTCTCTTTACCTATATTTATTAAAGTGTCTGACTACTCACCATTGTCGTGCTCTTGCCCGTGGGACTATGCGTGCATATACTTCACAGATGTAGGTGTTTGTGGAGTGTGAATGGGTGGTGCAATTTTTGTGTTAAAAACAAAACTGAAAATCACTATGTATCTGCTTCTGTAGATGTCCACACATGTTGTGTGTGTTTAACAGGGTGTTTCATTTCCACTGATACAGAGTGTGTTTCCCATCACTCTGCGCATGCTCCCAGAGAGGCTGTGTTACCCATTTGAATTGAGTGACACTGCAGTATGATGGGAAGCCTGAGAGCAGCGTGGATCATAGAGACTCCTAGTGGCCAGATTGGTTACAGCAGGAAATTTGCACCTCAGACTTCACAATATGAAGCCAGCCGGAGAAACAATCAGACAGATAAACAGATGACTGAGATATAACAGTTGTCTTCCAGCACCCCCTGCTCTGCTTCTTCCTCGTCAGTCTCTTCGGGTTGTTCAGTTTGTCAGAACTGAGTCCTCCTGCTGTTGCTGTTGATTTATCAGTTATTTTTAGTGAAAGTGTAACCAGACAAGTGATGTTCTGCGCAGCTGGAGAAAATTGGCATTTGTGGCTCTGCTCACAGGCCCATGAGACTGTAAGTTCCATCAGTAATGCATTTAAAACAGATGGAATATGAACTTAGGAGTTTGATGATGTTCAGCTGCAGAAGTCAAATACACAACACCGCACTGATGGCAAATTTTGGCAATTCTGACAGATCATGAGATACTTCTATGTTAACGGTTGTGGCCGAGACCACATTGATCAAGGCCAAGGAGAGAGGACAAGGACAGAGGTGACTAGGGATCGCCTTGGCATGGATCTATAGAGACTTCTGAGAGGCCTTTGCACAGATCCGCTCCATTAAGTGATTTAGGAATGTAGAATGTGTTACTCAGCGTATTACACTAACACACAAGGGCACAACTTAACTCATTAAGTTTCCCTGAGAGATGTGGTATCAGTTTTCAGTTAATGTAGAGTGTGATTAGAATAATCCTGATTAACAGGATTACTATACCATTACTGAAGCTTTAAGACATAGATAATTCCATGTTTATGTATAAATATATATATAATATGTATATGTTCATGTTCCTTCTATTTCTAATGTGACTAAATGACTCTGTTTTCTCCCTAAGAACGGTCTCAACGGGTTACACCTGGCCTCTAAAGAAGGTCACGTCAAAATGGTCCTGGAGCTACTACACTCTGGCATTGAGCTGGAAGCCACCACCAAGGTACATTGTTCTCTCTGTCTGCCTGTTTGCTAAAGTAGCATTTCATTAACTGAAAAGAATAAAACACTTTAACTGTTACACTTTCCCAACACCTTTCTGAGCCAATAGCTGATTTATACCCCTGGATTTTTACTAAATCAATCAATATTCAGTCTACTTAACAGTTTTAATATTCACAGTGTAGGCATTTTGCTTCTAAATGAGCTAAATTGTAAATATGAATAAAACTGTGCTGCTTTCATCATCACTGTTTTATTTATCACAGTGGCTGAATACAATACAATGGATGTATTTCAGTGTCAAGTTCTCAGTGTAGAGATCTAGGCCATTAGGTTGCAATCATTTCCCTTTCATTCACTCTATTTTCTTCTCTCTTTTTCTGTGTGTGTGTGTGTGTGTGTGTGTGTGTGTGTGTGTGTGTGTGTGTGACCTCCAGAAAGGGAACACTGCTCTCCATATTGCAGCGCTGGCAGGGCAGGAGAAAGTGGTGGCTGAGCTTGTCAACTATGGTGCCAACGTTAATGCCCAGTCACATGTGAGTCACCGCGAGCTGTGATAAGACTCACTCAGAGTGTGTGAGCGAGTGGGCCCAGTCTGTGTGTATGTTTGTGTATTTCTGCGCTTGTTTATGTGACACACCTGGTAAAGAGTTATCCATATATTTACATACAGTATCTATAAGGATGAGTGTGTACTGTATGTCTGTGTGTCCTTGTGAATTATTTATTTCCCCACATCAGCTGACTCTCAAATCCATGTATGTATGCAGATGTGTGTGGGTGTTTGTGTGTGTGTTTATTTTCTGACAGCACCTCTTGTAATGTGGGTTGAGGACTATGTTAAGGTGTGTTTGTGTGTTTGTAACTATACATGTATTTGTGCCCTAGCAGAAAGGCTTCAGTCCTCTCTACATGGCAGCACAGGAGAATCACTTAGAGGTGGTCAAGTTCCTGCTTGAGAACGGTGCCAATCAGAGTCTCCCAACTGAGGTACATGTCTGTCTCTTCAAGTGGCATGTTTGATTGTGAGTTTGTTTGAGGTTACCCTACTGATGATTAGTAATTAGATCCTTAAACATCAGTGGTGTCCGTGTGCTATCACACATTGTGAAACAGGTCACAATGGTGGGGTTGGGTTGGAAAAATCTTATTTCACTAAAAGAAGTAAATATAATTTTCTGATTGACACAAAAGAAAATGTTATTCAGCATGGTTTCATATTCTCATTCTCCCTTTTCGCTCCCTCTTCTCCATTCCTCTATCATTCTTGCGTCTTTCTCCCTTTGTACACTGTTCTTGCCCTTCCACCATTTCTCAATCTTTCTTTCACTCCTCCTCTCTCTTCTCAGGATGGCTTCACCCCCCTGGCCGTAGCCCTCCAGCAGGGTCACGAAAACGTTGTGGCACTGCTCATCAACTATGGCACCAAGGGCAAGGTCCGCCTCCCCGCGCTGCACATCGCTGCACGAAACGACGACACACGCACCGCCGCAGTACTCCTACAGAACGATCCCAATCCTGATGTACTCAGCAAGGTGTGCGCTCACTTTTGTGTGAACCGGTTGAATGTTTTACTTAAAATACTTATACTCTGTGTCATGCACTTTCTAACCTTGCTTTTCAATTGTGATATAAATAGATTGGAATTATCTGTATTCACTCTCTTGTTCTCTCACTCTCCCATTTTGTGTCTTCCTCTGTAGACTGGATTCACACCTCTCCATATTGCAGCCCACTATGAGAATATGAGCGTAGCCCAGCTGCTGCTGAACAGAGGAGCCAATGTAAACTTCACACCCAAGGTCAGTCTGTCTCAGCTGCAGGATCAAACATGGCACCTTTTTAAAGGAATAATAATTTGTGTGTGGAGAGAAGAATAATATAAAAGAGAATAGGTGAATATCAACAGTTACATTTTCCCTGTACCGAAAAAAGCTCCATCATACTTTTTTTCATCGTTTCAAGTAATCTGAAGACTTGTTCCAAGAAGTAGCCTACTTTCTTGTTTCTGCTCCTCTAGAATGGCATCACGCCCCTTCATATAGCCTCCAGGAGGGGCAATGTGATGATGGTCAGACTACTGCTGGACAGAGGAGCACAGATTGATGCCAAAACCAAGGTATTGGATAGTATTCTCTCACGCGTGCATGCTTAATGCCTTCTCAGTATCTGTTTCCCCCATCTGTTATCCTCCCTGCTGATGTTCTCTTCCCTGTCTCTTATGTCATTTAACACTTTTACCAGTCACTCTCCCTCTTCATCTCTTCACAGGATGAGCTGACTCCTCTCCACTGTGCAGCCAGGAATGGTCATGTTCGCATTATTGAGATCCTGCTGGAACACGGTGCTCCCATCCAGGCTAAAACTAAGGTAGATGACTTAATACTGCAGTCATTTTGACTGTCTTTTAGTATTTATTGGGAGCTTTCTAATCAGCAGTGACCATCTGGATTTCCTGTTAAGTACTGATTTTTTTTTTTGTGATTTGAGTTATGTGAATTCAATTAATATTTCTAATGATGTTCCCAAAGCCATCAGAAAATGAAGACACATATATACACTTTAATCCAGCTGTGGCTAATTAGCTAAAATCAAAATGCCTGACACATTGGTCTGTTACTGAACATTTTGAAACTGTGCCTCATTGGCCATGGATTGATTATATCCCCTCTAAGGACTCAGACTCTGCTTTCCTGAAGATAAGAAACTGTATCTTATTGGCAAAGTGCTACATACAGCACGATACATGCTCAGGACTTTATTTTGATGACAGTGACAAATCTATCTCCACCTTCTCTTTTTCATTCCTTCTCCGCTTTATCTTCCTCCCTGTACGTCCTATTCTTTGTCTCCTACAGAATGGTCTGTCTCCCATCCACATGGCAGCTCAGGGGGATCACATGGACTGTGTCAGGCAGCTATTGCAATACAACGCTGAAATTGATGATATCACGCTGGACCATTTAACCCCTCTCCATGTAGCAGCCCACTGTGGTCACCATCGCATGGCCAAAGTCCTACTAGACAAGGGGGCCAAAGCCAATGCACGCGCTCTGGTGACTAACTTCTACTTTAGATTTCATGAAAACTGAAAAAGTTTGAGCAGTAATTTATGTATAAAGCGCTTTGAATGTCCTCAATGTTTTAAAGACGCTAAACTGATTATTAGAGACTTGCTTAGACTTTCATAGTCCAGGGTTACAGTACAAATTTACATATTACTCATTTTTTATCACCACCACTGTACAGAGATGATAGTGAAATGAATAAGCTCCTGTAAAATGTTAAAAAGCTAAATTTAAAAAAAAAAAAAAGTATTTTGTAAACAATTAAAATATATTCACAATCTTTAGTATATGATAGACTTGTGACCTTTAGTCTTTTCATCAAAAGGCTTCTGGGCTGTACAGTGCAGTCTGGTTGTGAACTATTTCCTCTGTGTCTCCAGAATGGCTTCACCCCTCTCCATATTGCTTGCAAGAAGAACCACATGCGGTCCATGGACCTGCTGCTTAAGCACTCAGCTTCCTTAGAAGCTGTCACAGAGGTGAGACAATGTGACCACAAATGACAGACTCTGAAGATGAAAAAATACCCACTGTTCTGATGTGAAGAAGCATTTTCATTCAAGTGGCACTCAAAGCATTCCTCGTCTTTTTAACAAGTGTTTTGTGGCTTTCTTCTTATATCTACGTTTAAGGTCAAGCAATGGCAGGACATGCATGGTGCTATATTTTTAAATTCCCACGTCCCCTGTCAGATATCAGTGTCATCTGTCCTAAAGTTTCAAAACTGGCTGTTTGATTGATTGCCAGTCAGTCAGATGTGGCTAATGAACTTGAAGGTCACTTGATGTCTCTGTAATGCATTCATATTGAGCCCTGATGCTCCTCTCTGTCTGCTTTTGTGTCTGTAGTCTGGTCTCACTCCTCTTCATGTAGCATCGTTCATGGGCCATCTGAACATAGTGAAGAACCTGCTCCAAAGAGGGGCTTCACCTAATGCTTCCAATGTGGTGAGAACCCCTTTATCTTCCCCATAACTAAAGTCCATTTTATTTCTTTTAAATCACTTTCCAACTTTGCCAGTTGAGTGAATTAACTGTCTAAATTATTCACGTTAAAGATGTGTTACAGAAAGTTCTCTCTCTCTCTCTGTTCACGTTTTTAAAAAAGAGCAAATTCCACAGAGTTCAATAATTAATTACAGGAGAAGATTAATTTTGTGGGTCATAAATTCAACAATTAGCCATAGATTCTTCGAGTTTCTTTTTCACCACCACAGAAAGTCAGTGCTGTTAAAAATGATATTGCAGAATGAGCTTTAATTATTTCTGGATTACTGAAATTAATAGACTGATCTGAACTACGGACCCTCATATGAAGATGGTGGATTTAATGGTGGATTTTCAATCAAAAAACAATATTTCACCTTGGTCTAAAAGTTCTAAAACTGATAATAAATTAATTACATTTTTTTACATGTAAGAATAACAGTGCTTGTGGACAGCACAAATCTCTTGATGCTTAGCAAATATACAGTTATGGATGAATGAATTTAAAATCTGTTGTCTATGTTTACCCACCAGAAAGTGGAGACTCCCCTCCACATGGCCTCCAGAGCAGGACACTGTGAAGTTGCTCAGTTCCTGCTGCAGAACGCAGCACAAGTGGATGCCAGGGCTAAGGTATGAGCTGTGCAGTCTTTCTTAAGTCATCACAACCTGAAACAAGCTGTTTGTAAAAGCACACAATCAAGTTAGCACACATCAATGGCAGGTTGCTTAGGGATACCTGGTTTCCTGGTTATTTTACCCACAACTTAATGATGTCACTTTTCCTGTTTCAAACTTAAACTGACCAGTTTCTCCTTTTCGTCTGTGTCCAGGACGATCAGACACCTCTACACTGTGCAGCCCGTATGGGCCACAAGGAGCTTGTCAAGCTGCTCCTTGAGCACAAAGCCAACCCCGACTCAGCTACAACTGCAGGCCACACACCCTTACACATCGCTGCACGTGAAGGACACGTCCACACCATTCGAATATTGTTGGATGCTGGAGCACAGCAAATCAAGATGACAAAGGTAGGAGTTTGAGAGGTTTTATTGCTGTTAGGTACTAGTATAGGTCCAGCTTCTAAACCATATGAGAATAAAGAAAAATGAAAATAAATGTATGTATCTGTATGTGTTTCTTGACTTTGAGCAGAAAGGCTTCACTCCCCTCCATGTGGCCTCTAAATATGGAAAGGTGGACGTAGCAGAGCTACTTCTGGAGAGAGGAGCCAACCCTAACGCAGCTGGGAAGGTGAGACAATCTGTGCTCTCTGTAGTTCAGATCCCTGATGTACACATAAACAAATGAGGCACACTCTACAAGGTTGTGAAGAGAAATTCAGCTAGAAAGTTTGAGCTCATACAGATGCTTTTAGGATATCAGCTGAATGATAGATTATCATGGTATGTGTTTCATATATATATGTTTCTGTGTGTGTGTGTGTGTATGTGTGTGTGTGTTTAACAGAATGGTCTGACACCCCTTCATGTGGCCGTCCATCACAACAACCTGGATGTTGTTAGACTTCTGGTCAGCAAGGGAGGATCTGCACACAGCACTGCTCGAGTAAGATGCTCACATATGTGTGTGCACGTACTGACACAGGCAGGCCAACACAGCATGCCAACCCATCGCTGACACAAATACCAAAACAGGCCATTTGAGTATGTGGTGCTTAAACATACAGTAATTCAAATGACAGTCTTTGTATTCCGAAGCACTCTCTCACATCAGCACTCGAGTTTTAATCTAAAATTAGACAAGAAGAATGTTAAGAAAAGAGATGATTGTTCTTGTTTGTGTCTGTTTGTCCTTGTTTCTCTCTGCAGAATGGCTACACTCCCCTGCACATAGCAGCCAAGCAGAACCAGATGGAGGTGGCCAGTTGTCTGCTGCAGAATGGGGCTTCACCCAATGCCGAATCCCTGCAAGGCATCACGCCCCTACACCTGGCTTCACAGGAGGGACGGCCTGACATTGTAGCTCTGCTCATCTCTAAACAGGCCAACGTAAATCTGGGAAACAAGGTATTATATCAGAATGGATCCAAACACGGGCAAAAATAGAAATACCTTTAAAATAGTCTTCAATGAAGACATATTGCTCATCCCTCCTGTGGATTCCTTCTGTCTTTCAGAATGGGCTGACCCCTCTACATCTTGTGGCTCAGGAGGGTCATGTGGGCATCGCTGACACATTGGTCAAACAGGGAGCCTCCGTTTACGCCGCTTCACGAGTAAGTTATACCGTCGCCCATGGGAAACTACATGATGTAGTTAAAAGATGTCAGTGAATTAGAATATTCTGCTTTGCTGATGGAAACAATGTTGTAATTTTTAGTCTGGAGCAAGACAGAAATGAGAAATTAGTCGAAGGATCTGGGCAGACCTCAAGTATTTTGACATGGAAATCCAGCAGTGAATGGAGAAGTTGAAATAGAACTTCTTAAATAAACAAATTAATGACTGTGAATATTTAATTTACGTGTGGCTTTCCACACCAGACGTTAAAAATGAATATAAAATACATTAAATATTTGCCACCCTAATACACTTGTGCATGCTCTTGTTTGTTTGAGTTTACACATGTTTTTATAAGATCTGAGCTGCCTATTAGGAGGCATCAATGAAGCTACTAAACAACAACCAGCTGTCTCTCTCTCTCCTCGTCTCAGATGGGCTACACCCCCCTTCATGTGGCCTGTCACTATGGCAACATCAAGATGGTGAAGTTCCTTCTGCAGCAGCAGGCTCATGTTAACAGCAAGACGAGGGTAACCTATCTCTATCTCACTTATACTACATATATAACTGTATATGACTTGTACTCCATATGGGCGTTTTGACGAGCTGTGTGTTTCTGTTTACTTGTTTGTTTAACCACCAGCAATTAGTTAACCAGTATGAGCAGATTGGCTGGAGCTACACTGGTATTAGCATTAGGTGCCAAAATCATAAATGGAAACTGCTGTCTTTGTGTTTTTTTGTTTTGTCTGACCATCCTCCCTCTTTATTTCCCCAGATGGGCTACACCCCTCTACACCAGGCAGCTCAGCAGGGCCATACTGATATTGTCACCCTGTTGTTGAAACACGGAGCGCAGCCCAACGAGATTACTTCGGTGAGACACTTTTAGGAATACCTTTTTATACTGTTATAGCCTTCCTCTTATTACTGGGCGCTCCCACTGACCGGCACAGTGATATCTCTGGACAAACATAAATGTGTGTGCAATAGATAACCTGGAAACAAATAAGCAAAGATGTCTTTGAAGGCGTCCCTCTAAAATTATACCTACTCTCTGATCTCTCCTATCACACTTGACATGATTCAAATGGCTCAATGGAATTTAATAAAACAGTTACTGGTTAACTCTCTCTCAAATTGAATCGAAGGCAACTGGACTCTTATCCAAGCGGCTTCATGATGAAGCCGCTTGGATAAGAGTCCAGTTGCCTTCGATTCAATTTGAGAGAGAGATAACTATGACCTGGACGAATGAGAACATTCACAGACAGTTACTGGTTAACTGTTGTCCTGGTGGACAATTTATGTCTTAAATAAGTACTAGATATATATTTTCCTTCAATCTGTAGGTTCACAGTTACTTTGTGTGTGAACATCAGTTTCTCCTGTATAGCAATGTTTTCCCATTAAAAACTAGGTATGTACACCATATCTACATTCATTTGCATTTTGATTTAATGTGCTATATGTTCATTCACTTTGTGCCTTTATTCTGACATTTTAAAAGTTTATCACATTATGACATTATCTGTAATAATAAGGTGCTGTGAAAGCATACTTTATTATCAAATACTTTCTACTGAAGGAACGAAATGGTGTTACGTTTTTATTGTAAATGGAGAAAAAAACCTAATGGAAATATTTTGTGTGTGCGTGTGTGTGTGTGTGTGTGTGTGATGTTTCTCATCTTTCTCTGTATAGAATGGGACATCTCCCCTGGGCATCGCAAAGCGGCTTGGTTACATCTCCGTCATTGATGTGCTGAAGCTGGTTACCGAGGAGTCCGTCTCCGCGGTGAGCAACTCATCATGCGTGGTTCACATGGTTACACCAATACGCAAAGAAGTGGCCTCAACACGTCATGACTCAGATGTTCAATAAAATAATTTCCTTGTCTTGATCAGGTTCAGCTCCCTCACCTGTTCTCCTTTCTTTCTTCTCTGTCTCGCTCCTTCCTCTGTCCCTGCCATAACTCTCTATTGCAACCTCCTCCTGCTCTTCACAGATCACTACAGAGAAGCATCGGATGAGTTTTCCTGAGACAGTGGATGAGATATTAGATGTCTCCGAGGATGAAGGTAGGCTATCCGATTTCATTATTTTAAACACGTCAACATTACAGCCTTTATAATTCATTTTCAGCTCTGACTATTTTGGTAGAAGAAGACTGTTTGGGAGGTACACTGACATATCGAAGTACCACTATGAATTCAAATATGTAAATATGACTGTGTATAACGCCCTTTTCCATTTGTTTTGTAGGGGTTGCCCAGCTAACGTTAGGTAGGATTGTGTCTGTATCTCTACCTTGTCCGGTCCGGTGATTAGTGAACTTGTGCCTTCATTGCAATTGTATTCTCTCATTTTCTCCGTGCGTCACTAATTGTCTTTCTAATCAGTTCTTCTGAGTCTGCTCTCAACTCCAGCCCTGTTTGCTTGTCTCTATCTTTATCGTCTCTATCTTTATTCTCTTCTCCTCCTCCTCGTGCTCAGAGATTTATTTAAAAAATTTCAGTTTTTCATCAGCATGTAGTCACGACATCCTCCTTTTACCAGTGTTCAATGCACATCTGTTCATGGTCATTATTGACAGAATTCCAGTATTTCTGCATTTAAAAGACAAACGGCTTCCTCCCAATTCAGCATTGAAGTTACTCCTGCCTTTTACGGCTTAATTGAACGATAAGATGATTACACACATGCTGTGCCCCAGCTGTGACATGCTTCTCTAAAGAAAACACACAGTTGCTGTTTATGCAGTTGTCCTTCTGCTTTGAAGAAATTCAGAGTTAAATCAAATCCCTGTGATTTTTAACACATTTTGAGCATTTTTACACGCAAGCTTCATCTTTAATCTGTTTTGTTTGTGTTACTTGTTTAATTCTGTTGCTTTTTCCTTCATTACCATTTTTTGTTTACCTGTACAGCTTGTAGTAATTCATGTTTAATCGTCTGTAAACAGCTCAGTTGTTTGAAGTGGTTCATAGTTTACTAATGTTGTTATGATTATTATTTCACTATCATTCCTCCTTAATAATTGAGGTATTTTCTCCCACACAGAAACAACCATCACCACATGTGATTTCATCTTTAATGGGCATGCTCACTAAAAAAGCTGTCACCAGGTGCCTTGCAGTTTGCCGTCCATGCAGTGTCCTAAACTCTGTTAATACTCACTGTCTTACCTATCCTCTTCTTTCACTTCTTTGGTTTCCATCGGCTCTACTTGTTGTTGGTCTGACTCCATTGCTTGGACTAAATATATCTGAAATCGCTTTGTGGCCATTTTTTTCTGTGGTTTCATGAAGGTGAAGGGATGGGATGTATGGTGATGTAACAATTAGTATATCCACCCATGAAGAATTGAATTAAGTGACATTATTTTGAATGAAGTGGAGAGGTCAGCCGCTGTTCAAGATACTGTCACTCATAAAAAACAAGTCAAATGCATTGAGGAAAAATGGATTCCATTGGCAGATCAGATTAAGAAATTTAGATTTTACGACTGAGTGGAAGAACCTGAGAGCTGAGCTCAGCATCATTTTGCCCTGTATTCCCCTGGTCTCGTCCTTTTCTCTCTTAATTCTTTATGTGCTCTTTGCAACCTGTCCTTTGCCAGTCTTCGTTTTCCACCTTTCCTCCTCCTCCATGTTCCTGACCTCTTTATTTTGCCCACAGGAGACGAGTTGCTCGGGATGGATGGAGCACGCTACTTAAAGCTTGATGACTTCAAGGACCAGGACGATGACTTCCTCTCCCCTAAGAAGACTCTAAGAGACTTTGAGGGTGGCATGGGTACCACGTAAGTCATTGTACAGCTTTTGTCATAAAATGGGATTGTTTGAGACACTGAATGACTGGCATAGATAATTTATCTTTGACTTAAATTATTAGAAACAGCAGCATGAGATAAAATTATTCCAAAATTTCTGTCACAGAATAATAGCAAGTTATTGTCTCTTGTTTTATATTATTGTCACTTCCTCTGCCACAGGCCCTATTCTCCTGCAATTCCCAGGATCCCTTGTGTGTCCCCAGAGACAGTTCTGCTGGATCAGGTAGGTTTAACTCATGACGTTTAGAGCAGGCATTGCATTTTGTAAGCATGTGTTATTTTATCCTACTGAAGACAGATATTCATTTGTCAAACTCAAGTACCTCCGATATTAAAAAATGTTCTGATATTTATTTTTATCTCTTCTTTTGGTTTCTGATTTTCTCCCTGTCTCCTACTACATTGTGTCCTGTTTCACTCCCTGCCTGTTTCCGTCTATCATTATCTCTCTTTTCTTGCACTCATTTCATGGTGCTGTATTTTTTTTTATCAACTACTCCTCTCTCTTCTCTGTCTGTCTCTTCTCTGTCATTCCCTCCCGCTTTTCTCTGTCTTAATCTTTTCGGTCATGGTTATTTTACTGCCTCTCAATTTTTCACTGCCTTTCTTTTTTCTCCCTTCTGACCTCAGCACACCCCCATCCCCCTGCCAAAGGAGTATGATGAAGACTCTCTTATCCCGAGCAGTCCTGCTACGGAGACTTCAGACAATGTCAGCCCTGTGGCCAGCCCTATTCACACGGGGTAAGCTAATAAAAACATTTGACTGCATGTTAATGCTCATTTTTGATTTTATTCATGTTGAATTCTGTTATTCATTCATACTGCTTGTCAGGATTATCATCATAAAGTGGCAGACTCAGTCAGATTACCAGTTTTACAAACTACAGCTTCGTACTGGAGATGGAATAATGGGATAAAATATGAGAAAATGCATTAAAGATTTAGGCTCACATGTATAGAATGTATCATTTGTGTAATCTTGGAAAGTCTTGCTTTGATCAAATAATAATGACCATGTTAGCATGACCGACAATGCATAGCAAAAAAAACACTTTTATCTAAGAGGGGAAGGCAAATCAAAACCCCACAATTAAAGAAGCACAGTTAATGCTGCAGAATCATCCTTCATCTTTTATGATCACTGGTCCTCATTGATGTTACAACATCCCTGATCAGTGATGCTAGAACATCAGTGATGATGATCAGTGACCAAGACTGAACCACAGACGTCTCACAGTCTCTGTCAAAAGTCAAAAAATGACTACAGATATAGGAATGTTTTTATTCAATTTGAACATTGTAAATTGGACGATACATAAATGATGCATGTTGAGGATCACAAACTGTTTTGGCTGTTCCCTGTTACACTTTGTTTATATTGTGAATTCATAAAACTGTAATTAAGGTATTTATGACAAGCTCCATAAGGCTAATGCATAATGATGATCATTTATGAAGTCTGCTTAGTCATAATTTATGCAGAGCACAATGAGTCAGGATTTGAAAAGCAGAATATAAAGTGAGGGTGTGTGAGGGGGAAAGATGAACTCATGAGAGGAAAAGAGTCACCCTGCCAGACAGACACACAGACGCACTGACACACACACACACACACACTGACACACACACACACACACACACACACATGCACTGACACACACACACACACACACACACCCATACATCATACAGCATGGGTCTTTTTCATGTCATTCTTGCTGCACTTAGTGGCCACTCCAGATGGCTTGTCCTCCCCTGCCATACTGAGACAATCAAGTGAAAAGGGCACCAACAAAATGAATTGGTGTCTCTTTTATGAATTGCTCTGCAAAGTAAAAGATTGGATCAATTCAAAACACCGCTAAAGAAAATAAGCAAATTAATAATCCTTTTCTGTCTCATTCAGTGGGAGGAGTTTCACACAGGAAAGTTCAGCATTAGTTGTTTAGTTTTATGTTCCTGTCCTGTGTTAGTGAATGCTAAATGCATCTTGATCATAGAGCTGATTAAGTGAGCTGAACTTGTCATGAAATCACAATGTCACTGTATGACCCTCAGCTTCCTGGTGAGTTTCATGGTGGATGCTCGTGGAGGCTCCATGCGAGGCAGCAGACACCACGGGCTGCGGGTCATCATTCCTCCTCGAACCTGCGCTGCACCGACGCGCATTACCTGCCGACTGGTCAAACCTCAGAAACTGACCACGCCTCCTCCACTGGTGGAGGGGGAGGGGCTTGCTAGCCGCATCATCTCTCTAGGGCCGTCCAGTATGCAGTTCCTTGGGTGAGTCAACTTTGCAGTGGGTTTATTTACTGTATTCGTTCAGCTTCAAAACATGTGCATGTAATAATAACCTGTCAAGCATGGCAAAGTGTTGCATTTTCTTTAAATGAAATTTAAAACTTTATAAAATTATTTTAAAGAATCCATTGTACTTTTTTATACATGAATTATGTCATGGTTACTGTGCCATCTAGTGGACATTAATACATCTATACATCTCATGGACACACTGTAAATTGTGGTGTATTTTATTTTAACAATAGCAGAACAAAACAAAATTGGATATTATTGTTTTAGGCTAAAAAATCTTTTTTTTGTCACAAAACACATTTTGTAATTCTGTTTATTTTCTTATTTAAATTATTTCAAATTATTAATGATGCAGTATAAGCTTGAAAACAGAATCAGACCCAGATTTTTTTATGCACTTTGTGGTTTCTTCCACAGGCCAGTAATCGTGGAAATCCCACACTTTGCCTCACTGGGCCGAGGGGACCGAGAGCTTGTGGTGCTCCGCAGTGAAAATGGCTCCGTCTGGAAGGAACATCGCAATCGCTATGGCGACGAAGTGTTAGAAACTATTCTGAATGGCATGGATGAAGGTCAGTGTGATGGTAATGGATGTCATTCTCAGTGAAACCTTGTACGGTTGCAGATAAGTCAGTCGTAGTCTTGATGTATGGCTGTGGAGTTGCAGAACAAGGGCACAGGGAGGTGAGACTTTTTTTTTTATAGTAAACTTGTATGAGCAGAAGTACACTTTCTCTCACCTGGACACTTGTAATTGTACAGTGATGATTTTATGACTCACCTATGCCTAAATTAAGCTGTGAATATTTGCTAGACCTGCAGTCTAACATTTATCCACCTTCTCTTTATTGTTCCCTCTGTGTTTCATTTTGTATTTCTGTCCTCTCTTTCTCTTCCTTCTTGTTCACTGCTCACCATCTGTAGACCTGGAGAGTCAAGAGGAGCTGGAGAAGAAGAGAATCCGCCGGATCATCTCCACCGACTTCCCCCTCTACTTTGCCGTGGTCTCCCGTATTCAGCAGGAGAGTGATCTGATCGGTCCGGAGGGTGGCAGGCTGACCAGTAAGCTGGTGCCCCATGTGGAGGCCATCTTCCCTGAGACAGCCGTCACCAAAAGAGTGAGACTGGGACTGCAGGTAAGAAGAGGAGTTGAAATTATAGTGCAAATACAGTAGAGGGGGAAGGATATGAGAGAGCAGGAATTAATTAAGAAAACAGAGAGGAGAGGGAAGCACGTGACTCTATGCAGATCCACACCTTTCATAATTGACTGGGTGTTTGTTATTTTGCAATCTGGTGGGGTTTTTTTTATAAATGGACAGATGTTTGAATTATAGAACAGCTGACTTTCAGTGTGTGACTCACTGGTCTATGCCAACGCACTTACCTGTAGCATTTTTTGTTTGTGCTGCAATCGCTATGAGTTGAGTTCTCACAGATTTCGAATCCTGAAGTTGATGTTCTGTTTGGCGAATGAGCTGTAATACATAGTACTTGTCTGCTGACTGCAGAAAGATGATTATTCTGATGATTATGTTTAAGGAAACTTATGAATTGTGGAGTTGCTGCATCTAGGACAAGCAACAAATCCACCTCTTCACCTTTCCAGTTTTTTTTGGTTCAGTGTCCATATTTTTGCCCATTTAGTGCAAATTGTTTACACATTTTTCTTTTTTTTAATGAAAAAATTAATTTTTCTGCCTTGCTTTCCTTTTAGTCATTGATTTCCATGAATTTCAATGTGTTACATCACTATTTCCAACGGAGCTCCACCCACTTCAAAGGACACTTGAAGTTTCAAACGAAACTTCAAAATAAAAGCAAGGAAAACAGGGAAAGGAATTGGAACGCTGAAATCTCTCATGTGAAAACCAGCTTTAACTTTGGCAGAGGCTTGTGTGTTTGTGTAGGAGCCCATCACTGACAGTAAGAAGTTTATTGAGAAAATGGGTTTTCGCACCTTTAAAATTGTGTTTGATATAATGTTACAATATAAACAACCCTGCATATACTGTTTCCAAGAACAAGGCAACTTGACCTGAGGAGTGCCTCAGCCTGTCATGGCGTACTGCAGTGTTTCTAAATTAGCATTTGCAACACGTGGTGTCTGTCCTGCCAAACAGGAGCTTTTGGCGAATGTGTGGCTGTCACTCATCCAGACCTCCACAGACACACATATGGGAACTTGGCAAACACGCATGCTGAAACCTCCACACACAAAACACCTCCACTTGGTTTTGTTTTCCATGACAGAGAGATTATGACAGATTATAGGTTCCACATTTCAGTGTTTTTGGTCACTTGAGTGTACATTGTTTACGTTGTCTGTCAAAGCACTGATTTGTCATGGCACTGATGTTACTGAAGGAAACTGCATGGGTCCAAGTTTTGCTTTATGCTTATGCTGCTCTGTTTATGTTTTCCTTTTATCCAGCCATTCATCACTCCTCAGTTCCCTGATTTAAGTTGTGAGCCACACTGACCGAGCTGATGCACTGATCTGACTTGGGTCAGGTGTGAAATATGAATTGGTTGCATGTGTGAGTATGGCTGTGAGTTTGATGTTTGAGTCTACTGCACTTGGCCTGTTCTCTTTGCTCCTCTCCTTGTTCCCGTTTCCTGTCTATGTCCTACTCTTTTGGATCACTGATACTTACCTCAGCTTTCACTGTGCTTGTGCTTGAGTTTAGCTTTCACATATTTATCCCCCAGCCTTCTGTTCAACTCCGTATCCTTTATTCTGTGTTTTTGGCATCTTCCTGCTCACAACCTCTTCCCTCACCACTTCCACTTTAGGCGCAGCCAATTCCTGATGAACTGCTGACTCGACAGCTTGGTAACCAGGCGACCTTCAGCCCAGTGGTTACCATCGAACCACGCCGACGCAAATTCCACCGTCCAATCGGATTGCGCATCCCATTGCCACCATCCTGGAGAGAGAGTCCTCGAGATGCTGGGGAGGGTGATACCACCAGCTTGCGCCTTCTCTGCAGTGTCATTGGTATGATCCACTTTGAAGATGAACAAATAAACAAGAATTTTGCCCACTTTCTGTGTAATGTAATGACTTTTTGTGCTGGTTTGAATTTTTTTGGATGTATAGTGTACTGTAAATAACATAAAATGTGCTGTAAAAGTGTGTATTTAGGCATCTAACAGATGCCTTAATATGTTTATCGGGACATGAATGGCACAGTGTGGTTGTTGTGTCACAGGTGGAACAGCACCAGCTCAGTGGGAGGACATCACTGGAACCACAAAGCTGATGTACGCCAATAACTGTGCCAACTTTACCACCAATGTTTCTGCAAGGTGAGCACCTCAACAGCGAGCAAGACAAATTTATTACCAGCTTTCCTTCCCTGCTCTCTTGCCCACATCTGCATATTAATCGAATTTCTATCCGCCACGTTCCCTCTCTTCTCTCTTCTTCTACTTTATCCAGATTCTGGTTGGCAGACTGTCCACGCACGGCAGAGGCAGTGACATTTGCCAACTTGCTGTACCGGGAGCTAATGGCTGTGCCATATATGGCTAAGTTTGTGATTTTTGCCAAGATGAATGAAGCACGCGAGGGACGCTTGCGTTGCTACTGCATGACGGATGACAAGATGGACAAAACGCTGGAGCTGCACGAAAACTTCAGTGAAGTGGCCCGCAGTCGAGATATTGAGGTCAGTAAGGAGCAAAGGAAAACGATGCCAAGTTCACAAAAAGGGAAAGGTGTTATGGAGATCAATATGGCATTTGGCTCTTGTTTTATATCATCTATCAATTTAAGTGCGGCTACTTAAAAGCCATATTAAGTGTATGCAATAGAAGATGCATTAGAAGCCTGTAAATCTAGCCAGTAGCAGTGCAGCCAAAGAAGCACTCAGTTTTTTTTTTCTTTTCCTGATGAAAAGAAAGATGGCTTAAGTAACTGTGGGCTTTGCTGGCATTGTTTCCAAAAACCTCCCCATCGTGGAGAGCAACAATCCTGCAAGTGCAGTGTTTTATCAGGAGTAGGTTTGTGTCTTTGATATCAATCCTCACTCTGGCTGTTTTACAGGGTCAAATCATTCTCACATGCCCTTTGTGTTCTGATTTATCTTGTCACCCTTAATAGCTGATGGAGGGCATGCCACTGCACCTGGAGTGTTCTGGGAACCTAGTGCCCATCAGGAAGGCCACCCAGCAGCCTCGCAGCTTCAGCTTTCAGGCCTTCAGAGATAACAGACTGCCTGTCTCTGTCAAGGTCAGTCTCTATCTGACTGTTCATATGCCTGCTTTTCTATCACTCGCTATGTATTCATACAGTATTGTGGTTTTGTTTGTTCAGTTTTTGGGTTCGGTGTGTCAAGGATCCTTTCGCCAGTTAGTCAGTTTTCCCCCTGACCACCCACCTGCTGATCACCCAGACAAACCCGTTCATATGGTGGTTTTTGTGTGTCTGTTTGCCTTTCATATCTGTGATATCTGTGAGCTAGACTTTTCAGTTTGTCCCACCATTAGCATGTAAAAGTTCAGATAACAGAACAGTGCTGTGTTCCCTCCGCACCCACTCAGCGACACATAAACGCCACACTAAGAAAGTGAAATCTACACCTGAAAGACTGTGTAATTAGCTTCGTATTGACATAAATTCACTCAAACAGTAAGTCTGATCTTTCATTCAGTATGAGGGTATATCAATAAAGTCAATCGTCAATCGTTTTTGATATATTGTTATATTACATGGTGTGTTGTCAATCAGTGCCTTCATTGTTGTGGTTGTCAAATCATTGGTATTTCTACACAAATGACAAGATAATAATTGTCCAAATTTGTGCCTGATTTTTTTTTTTTTTATGTAATGCTACAGTTTTTTTTTTTTTTTTAGTTTTTCCTTCTTTCTGATCATAATTGAGTCATATCTTAGTCTCTTTTTCTCTCTTTACATTTTTGTTGTTTAAAGCCCCTCTCTTGCACTACATCTGTCCCTCTTCATGTCTGTCTTGTAATTATATTTATGTCATTTTTTATTTTTCATTCATTTTGTTTGGTGCTTCATCTATTTGTCTGTCAGTGTCTTTCTGTCCATGTGTGTCTGTCAGTGTAACACATACACTATCGTTCAGCATCGGCTAGATGAATGATAAAAATCTTTTTCATTATGAAATAGCCAAGCAACAAACAACTTACCTATCAACCTGTCAACTCTCTTGGGTAATTGTTTGCATGTCCTGTGACTCCCTCACTTTCTTTGCCTGCCTTCCTATCTTGCGGCCTTGCCTGTCTGTATGTGTCTGTCTCACTGTCTCTCTTTCTCTCTCTCACGGTCACTCTGTAACTGTCTGGTCTGACAGACGTCCAGGTAAAATGTGCAGGTAAATCTCTCCCTCTCGCCTGCCTGTGGACTGCTTCCATCCCTGTTTCCCCCTGCTTCTCGTCCCATGTTACTGCGCCACATGCTCGAGACATGGTGGAGGGATCTAATACCTGTTTTGATGTGTTTTTTTTTTTCCTCCTCTTCCTTGCTCTTGCTCTGATTCATTCTCTTCTTCTCTTATGCGTTCTGTCTCTTACCCTGTCTCTTCCTTTCACTTCTTTTCTTTCCTCTTTGCCTTCATCTTAATCCTTTTGCTCACCCTTCTCTCTTCCATTCCTCTATCTGCTCTCTCCTTTTTCCTCTCTCCTTATTCCTCCTTCTTCGTCTTCTCTCTTTCTTTCTCTTCCTCTCTACGTCTGTCTTTTCTTTATGTCAGGTCAGAGATAGCAACAAGGATGCCACTGGCTTTTTATCCTTTCTGCGGAAGTGCACCAAGTACGAGGACACACAGCACGTACTGTGTAACCTTAACATAACCATGCCACCTTGTGTCAAGGTAAGGGCTTGATCCCAAACACAATGCCCCCAAGCACACATACACAAACCTTTGTGCTTGAATTTCCCTAGACATCCATGTGCTTCATGAGACAGAAGTCTGGCTATGTGACACTCTCCAAATAAGAAGTCATTTTTTCTAAAGTTATTTGACAAGGTATAAAACAATTGTGGTTTAAATCTTGTGAGCTGGAGAAAAAGACGATCGGTTCACCATCAGTTCAGATCTCTCAGGCACAAATATTTATTGTAACCTTGGTACCAAGGAGAAAAGGGTGACTAGTACACAGCCAGCAAGGGACTGTGCCATACCAATTTCTCATCGTGTAATACAACGATATCTGAACAATAACCCATTGTATAACACAGTGAGGGTCTTCATGGCCTGAACTCTGGGTCTATAAGTGAGGCCAAGGAAAGCAAGACGAACACTGGAAGATAATGAAATATTTAGACTATATATTCTGGAGAACCTCATTTGATGATGTCGCTTGTCCGGTGTCTGAAACAGGGAATACTGTATTTATCATAGGACCAGCAGTCTCTAATTTCAAATTAACTGAAAGTGGATTCTTTTAGAAATAAAATGCTAAAACTGTGTACATACAGTACATTTTAACTTTAACAAAAATCTGTTGAACAATCAGGTAATTTTTTAAGTCACTTTCAATCACTGCGCACAAAATCTATACACACAATTCAAATAGTGCGCAAACAAATACATATTAAAACAGTATGCAGCACTGCTTTACCCCTTTAACACCCAACCCCTTATTAGGGTCATCTACCTAAATGACAAATGCAGCAGTTTTGATCGTAATACCTCCACGATGAATTTGGACGTTTAGTTCCCAATGATGTAATTCACTGTAGTACAGAGACTGCTTAAAAGGTTGGGAGATGCCATATTTTAAGGTTTCACTTGTATGCTCTGCAGTGCACTATACCTGGATCAGTTTTATGACAGGGCATTCATTTGGAAAGATGGACTTCTGACCTGTTGATATGTATATTACATGCTCATATTCATGTAACCTTTCATGGTACCAGTACCAGTCCATCCATGTCCTACATAGTGCTAATGTGACGTAGGCCAGACAGTGGGTTAAAAGGGTTAAAAAGTGCTGCATTAATGACATGCCAGACAGAAATTATAATGTGATTGTATCGTGATTCTGTTGTTTGAATTTATCTTTAGGTCGTTGGAAGTGAGGAGCGCAGGAGAACTTTAACCCCTCTCGCCCTGAGAGAGCGCTACAGTGCGCTGAACGAGCCAGGTGTGGGTGAGTCCTTCACTGCCTGACTCTCAGCCCTCTCCTGATATAAATAAAGTGGAGACGGGCACTGAATGTTGCACTGCCCCTTTTACCCATAACCCTCTGCTTCCCACTGTACCCTCTCTATTTTCCTCTATCTGTCTCGCGTGCACGCATGGCACAAAGACTTGATGAGCCTTGGATGCAATGCACTGCTCTACAATATGCCCCAGAGTTCTTTGCAGTGCAGTTAGAGGAAATCTTATTGAATGTGCGACCAAAAGACGAACAACAATCCCCAACGTGACTAAAAAATGGCTCCATGGCACATGGCAAATTAGCCTCTCCTTTCCTCAGTGTCCTGGTAGCTATGACAACCGATGAATGACTTCTGTGATTGGTTTTGCATGGCGCTGGTGTCTCCACTGCGATTTCCAATGGCATGGCAGCAGATACTGTTAGCATTAGCATTGTAGCTTAGCACTGAGAATGGGCAGGACCTCGCAGTGGAGCTAGACAGAGGAGCCCTTATACTGGCCTCTGGTAAATGAACAGAGTCAAGATGGCCGTTACGGTGGGTTTAAGTGGTGCTGATGGCGGGTGGGGTTGAAGGGGAAAGGCCTTTTCTGTCTATCAAATACCCAGCGCTGCTACATTGCACTTCAGTCCCTCTGTAACTGTTACTGAATGCTACTTTGACTGGTGGGACTAGCACCTGAATGAGCCCCAAATTCTAACCTCCCCTGCCCATATGGTGTGCTAACCCTGAGGATTATATGGACAAAACAATGCTGCTTATTTCCTTCAACAGAGAAATGCTTTTGTCAAGGTAAGTATTGCTATTAATAATTTTAATAGCAACTCATGTGTTTTAGGAAACAGAGGATGAATTGAAACCAAAAGGGAAATTGAAAAAGAATCAAACAATTGTCTGTAGTATTTGAGTAACATAGCTTTCAGTTACACGTATTTGGATATTCCAGAGTTGATATGATCTACCTATTAAATCCAAAACACAGTTTACCAGTTTACCAGTAACAGTTTACCAGCAAAATATAGCCACTGGATTGTCCAAATAAAGTGTGACTTTAAAGTTAGAGTCAGAGTTACAGTCTCCTCAGTTCAGTAAAGGAGACACTGGCTTTGTCTTAGGTGTTCCTAAACTAGCTGTTTTTTTTTGTTTGTTTTTTTTTTTGTCTTTAGCCACAGTGAACGCCATGGAGAGGACTGAGATCAAAATCAACATCATATCTGAACAGCTGGGATTGAGCTGGGCAGGTCAGTCCCTTCAAATATGTAAATATTTGTATCCCTCTCTCTCTTTTTGTATGTATACTAATGTATCTACTCGCCCTGTACTGTTTGGCAGAGTTGGCACGAGAGCTTCAGTTTGGTGTGGACGACATCAACAGGATCCGTGTGGAGAATCCCAACTCACTGCTGGACCAGAGCTCTGCCCTGCTCAACCTGTGGGCCTGCAGAGAAGGCAAAAGGGCCAAGAGTAAGTTCAACAGAGCTGTAGATCTCCTCTCTTTTAGCCACCTAAATACTGTTTTATTCATTTATCAGTACATAAAACTGCTGCAAGTCTGAGAGATGTTCTCTGAGAGATTAGACGTTATCTCAGTTGCAGCACAGAAGTGAATCTGACATCACATCATCAAATTATAGATCTCTTTTTGAGAATTCAATCATCAGATTTACCCTATTTTTAGAATACTAATCTAACTTCCCGTCTCTTCTGACTTTCTTCGTATGTCTCTCTCTTTTGCATCCTTGTGCACACAATCTTCTTTTGTGGTGTTCCCTGTCTGTTCCTCTGTCTCCCCCCTGCCCTCGATGTGTTTCCCTCTCAGTGGAGAGCCTGTACACCGCTCTGAAGAACATTGACCGCGCAGACATCGTGACGTCTGTGGAAGGTCAGGCTCCACAGCCGGCACCCGGGTCTTTGGAGGAGGGTGCCTGTCGACTCGGCGACCGCGACTCCACCCTGCTGTCCCCCAGCATCATCAATGGTAAGACACACAAACACAAACATCACACACACAAGACATGCAATGTTTGAAAATATAACATATTCGTCAGTGTGCAATGAATTGGCCCGTTACGTTTAGACTGAAAAAAATGTGCCTTGCTCTTCAACAAGTGATTTAATTCTGTATTTAGCCTTAACACCTTGTTGCCTTAAAGCAGGTGAAACAGTCTGTCACTAAGTCTAAAGCATTTGACATTTTTCTATAGCATGTTAGGAATCCATTTAATGCAAGAATGTTCTCAACTAAAGTGTAATTAAATTAATTAAACCAACTAAAGTGCAGTCTTCCTCATTCAAGACATGGGACAAAAAGGTCAAACAGTTTGATTGTTAATAAAGTTTTTAATACTCGAGAAGCTCGTTGTTAATATAATAATTGTCTCATGATGATCTGTGATGATCAGAAATGGAAAGTTTACAGGGATTTCCTGCTCAAGCAGAATCTGAAGGAAAGTTAATCACTCAGTTACTATACATTCAGAAGAAATGGTCTATATTAGAAGAAAAGCTTATTTAAAATCACAATGATTCTGACTGATTCTGATTTCAGTTTTTAAGGGTTTATTTACTCAAATGCTTACTCAGATAACGCTAACAGATATGTAGTTCATGACAGTTATAGTCAGCACATACTGAAAATCTGAGACAAAATTCTTCAGCACAATAAGGTGAGCTGTTGCTCTCATATACTTTCCACGTCTGAAAACCTCCCTGCTTCATTAAGTCTGGGTAACAGCCATCTCACCTTGTCTCTGTTGCTCCACAAGAGATCACGGACACAAGGCCATTGCGTCTAGTGCACAAGCCACGAGTTATTAGACCCCCGTTTTTCAGAAGGGGTAAGTTGAAGGGACCTTGGGCTGCATGGTGGTTTGCTGCTCATGTAAATGATGATAATGATGATGATGATGATGATGATGAATCTCAAGTCATGTTCTTGAGGTCTGAGGAATGGTGTCATTCTCCCACCATGAACCCGGCCTTTTGCAGCATGCACTAAGGGCACTGGGGCACAAGTCATTTTTTTTTTAGTTACAGTTTTTCACACCTCATATTTGAGCCCTGAACATGATGGTTCTGATTGTTCTGACTTGATATGAGAAACGAGGATAAAAGTCCATTTCACCAAGAGTAAACACAACATTTAAGGCCAAACAAGCCAACACTTAATTCCTGATTTTTAATTATGGATGTTTGGGGTTGTTTAGATTACGTGTGGGTGTATGTGTTGCTGCGTGAGGGTGTGCACACACACACCTGCATGTGTGTGTGCATATGTGCATGCGTGTGTGTCTGGGATGGATACACTAGTCAAAAGTGGCACTAGTACACAGATGATAGTGTGCTCTGGGCCTTCATACCTTGTTTCTATTCCTCCTTTGTTCTTTCTCTCTGTCTTTCTCTTTCTTTCCCTGAGAACAAGACAGAATTTCACCTGTCTGACTTTGCTTGACTGACAGCAGACATTGTTACGTAACTGCAATGTTCCAGCGGCCTTGAAATTTTGTCTTGTGCTCAGGACGTTCTCTCTCTCTGTCCTACTTTCAGTCTTTCTCTGAACCTATAACATGTCATATCTGCTGCCCAGCCTCCCTGCTCCTCCTCCTCCCTCCTCCTGCTCTTCTTCCGCACAGCTCTTCCTGTCCGACCTCTGACCTCATATGACCTCATGTTGACCTCTGGGCCTCCTCTTCTCTTGTCATCTTATTTTCCCGCGCTCCTCCCTCGTTCAGTCGAGCGGGGACCCTCTCCTCCTCTCTCAATCCAGCTCTGTGTGTGTACTACAGTTTGTGCATGTGCATGCTGCATGCTTTGCTATTACAGTATCTGTTTGTGTGTGTGTGTGTGTGTGTGTGTGTGTGTGTGTGTGTGTGTGTGTGTGTGTGTGTGTGTGTGTGTGTGTGAGCATGTTTCAGACCTGGGCTACAGTAAATTATTATTGTTAGTATTCAAAGAAGGCTAAGGAAATCACTTTATTTAGGTTAGTTTGCAAAGAATTTATGTGTATGAATATTTTGTCTTGTTTTTAAATCAGACTCAGTGTAATACTTAAATTACATTAAAAAAAATAATTTACATACATTTATACCCAGAATTACGTAAGATGACTTTTGTCTGTGCAGTGAAAGGGATGTGTGAGTGTGCAGTTTCTTGAACAAAATAGTTGAAAAAGTTTGCTATTTTTTGATTATGACATCTTTATGTGCATGGCATGCTTTCAATGTATTCAGGTTTTCTTCACAGTGTAAAATGTTTTCTCTGTTCAATGGGTGTATTTCAGTCTTGTTTTAAATGCTATATTAACAAACAAATGTTTTCTTTTTCTTTTCTTGTAAAATAAATGGTGTGTTTTTTTTAATGCTACGCTGTAAGACATAGTCAGCTGCGTAGCACATAATGTTCAACGCACAATGTTGCTTTGACATCGTGTCTTTCATTCATGGGCAAAATAAGAAACTGTAAATGAACTATGGCTTTGTCTTATTTTTCACACTTTTTTACTTTTAAAAATTTTACTTTTTAAAATAGTTTTCTGCAATTAAAATGAACGTAAAAGCAAAAGAAAATCTTTCACAAAATGTTTTTACTTTAGAATATTTAATGATTTTTATAAACTAGGTTTTGCCCAAGTCTGATGACACACTCATTGTTAACATTGCCTGAATGTTATTTGCCAGCAGTGATAATGCTCTGAGGTGTGTTTGTGTATTGTGTATTGGTTTGGGTGTGTGTGATTATTTCTGTACATTTAAGCCTCACCTGTGAGCCAAAAGTGTGTGTCCTCATCTGTCTTTTAATATGAGTGCTGTATTGTGTGTTTGTGTGTGTGTATGTGTGTGTGTGTGTGTGTGTGTGTGTGTGTGTGTGTGTGTGTACAGTGGCAAAGTGAGTAGCGTGCTGTGCTGTGTGTTGTCTTTTTTTTGTTCCTTGTGCCATGACAATCTCTGTTGAGTTTATTTGTGCTTCACCACATCCTGTGCCTTTGACACTTTGTGTGTGTGTTTGTGTTTAAATAGCAGGAGTGAAGGGAAAGGCTAACCCAGATTCATCAAACTCATTCTAACCCTCATTCTAATTCTGACTCATTCCTCCCTGTTCACCTCATTCTGACACCACCTCTCATCATCCTGGCCCTGTACCATCCCAGAAACATACACACATGCTTACCCACACTATGGTCCATTTGCGCATAAACTCTGAGAGACGATTACTGACACAGTAAAGAGGTATTTCACCCATTAATACATGCTATTGTTTTGCTGTACAGAGCTGCTGTTATGGATCCCATTAGAATAAGTTTCAGTTTTTAGCTACACAGATTGAGATGCTATTTTTGGTGCCTCAATGTGCTGGTAAAATTTAAATTATCCTCACTTATTATTCTGACCTTGAAGCATCTAAAATCTATGAATAGAAAGTACCTTTAAACACAGGTCAGGTAAGGTAGACTTTGCTGCATTGTTTCACCCAATCATTTTTCTGCCCATAGCTGGACCATAATAACTGACTAAATATTTATACACTCTGTTTTTGCAACAACTGTTGTGCTACTACTCAATAAATGGATAAATTAATACTAAATTTCAGGTTATTCATTGATAGAGACCCCTCTTAATTTCCACTGTGTTTTGTTTCGACATACAGAATTTTCTACTCAGTAAATGTACTGGTAGATATCATTCTGTAAAAGCTGTCATTTCTTACGGAGCATTTTTAATTGCAATGATATTGTTAAGGCCAATCATATTCCTTCAAATCCAAAAATTCACGTAAAAAAACAAACAAATGAATGTGATTGTGAAATACAGATGTTGTTGCCTCTAAGAAGTCATTGATTGCCTTTTGCCTCTCTTCTCTCTTTTCTCTGTCTGATCCAGACTGAGACTGGCAGAGTGATCCAGTTAGGACTTAGACAGGAAATATTTTTGTTTTTGATTAAAGTGTTTTATTGTTAACGTACATTTGCTATATTAGTTAAACTGAAAACTTTTCTTTATTTTCAGATTTTTGTCATAGATTTTTGTGGTTCTTGCTACTTGGTGCTTAACTGAAACATTTCCTGCAGGACTGGACCACAGTGTGAACACATCCTAACCTAAATTTTGGGTGAAGTACTCCTTTACTGTTCAGTTTCACTGAATTTCATTCATCTGAACTCATTGATGCAACAATTTGTCTAATTACAGTATCGATTAATCAGGCAATCTCCAATCCATATCTGTCACGTGTCAAAACATGAGTAATATTATCTTCAAATATCATCAAGACAAGGTTTATTTTTTTAGTTTTATTCAGATTATATTTCCAAAGTTACTATACCTAAGTATACTATTTCCTAGCATTTATTTTAAATAGACATTTAACTGTGTTTTTAGGTTAACTTAGATAATAGATAACAAATCAAAATGCCACTCAATCAAATTATTACTTATAAAAAAAAATTTTATATATGAGCATATTAAACAACAAAGAAAAAACTACTATGAATAATAATTATTTAAGAATGTATATACAACTACACAGCATAGCAAAATATTGAACCAAAATTACATGAGAAGTAAATACAAAACAAATTTGTTCTCATTAAACTGTATGCACTAAAAATTTAAATATATATAGCTTTTGATATGAATCACATAATTAATACAACGCATTTTTATTGAAACTAAAATTAATATGGTAAAGAATAGAAAAATTATTACTATAAAAAATTTGTGTTTGTGTATTTGACAGTATGTTTGTGTGTCCTTGTGCATTTTGCTGATGTTTTCACATTGAATAATCTCTTAATATAGGATCCATAGTAGAACAGAAAATTATTCTCAAATACCCCACAGTATTTGCTTATTATATTCAAGTGTTATTCTACATTAAATGATAAACAAAATGTGTGTTGAATAATATACATAACGCATATCATTCCTATCAAGTCCTCCTCAGTCTTATAAAGATAATAATTGGATAAATGAAAATAATTCATACTGCAACTAGGTGAGTGATTATATATCAGTTTAGAGCAAAAACAGGGACCAACTTCCATTAAATCAAGTACAAAGAAATATTTAAATATAATAGTTTGTCTAATGTATGTGCCTTTGTACGTGTATGACTGTGTGTGGACAGTGACCTTAATTTGGATGCTTGGGATGCAGACATAGGAACGCATGACTCTGATGTGCAGCTACAGGAGAACGCGTGAGCGACAGTAACTTGCATTTTCCTCTGCAGAAGCTGCAAGATGCTGCTGACCCCCCACCCAGGGGCCTGTAACAAGGGTTGGGACGATATTAGAGACGTTTGCATAAAGCTTTGGTATTTGAATCCCAGCTTGTGGGACATCACAGAAAAAATCCAAGTAAATCTAAATTGCAGAGCACCCAGCACCCCAGACTGATTAGTTACAAATATACAGTATACCCTTTAAATACTGCAGCGGCATTATGATTGGTGAAAAAATGAAGTAGAATTTAAACAAATTTGTCTTTTAGGGATTGGCTGTACATTGATACATTTTCATCGTCTCCATTTGTGATCGGGACACTGAAATCTGGAAAACTAATCTAAAAAAATTCTCTCTCTTTTTGCTGAGAGGTCAGAGGGAATGAGAGCAGTAAAAAAACCTATATCGTTCCAACCCCACAATCAAAATATAACTCCAGACTCACCTTTTTTGTCTCTTATCAGGGAACACAATGTGTGTTCTGCTTATTCACTCTCTTACATGGAAACAAACTACAGTCCTGCACCATTCACCTCACACACACACACACAGTGGATGACACACCAAGCCCCTTTATCCCTCACCTCACTCTTACTGCTGTGTCCCAATGACAATAACCTGAAGTGCCTCCTTTGCATCAAACCCAAAAACAGAATGAAATCAGTCCAAATATGTTTTACATCAATTAGACAAATCAACAGTAGAAAGATGTAGAAGATGTTTTGTTGCTTACAATAATTTTATTGTGTTCTGCCTTTTAAAGTGAAATTAGTACAAAGCATATTGGCTTGGATTTGTTCAGGGTCTTGGAGTCAGGTTGCTTCAGAATCAGTGTGTCTCTTATCACACTGAATGAAATGAATTGAAGGATGTCTTAATCCTAAATTACAGGTCTAAACTTTTAGGTGCGTAATAAGGACTAGCCCTATTATTTTTTTCCTACTATATTGGGACAGGGCTGAGCCCCACTGTTTCCCCTATAAGTCAGAGAAACAGTTGACCCACCACCCACCTCCCCTTCCTCCCCCTGGCTGTGCCTGCGTGGTGTTAGTCTTTCTCTTGTCTCGCCCCTGTCTTCCCTCCAGGTTATGGGCTGGTGCAGGAGGAGCTTCTGTCCCCGGCCTCAATGCAGTACAGCTTGCCCTCTCCACTGGGTGTGGAGCCCTACTGGCAAGAAGTGTCCAGCCTTGAATGCGCCCCTATTGCCACCACAGAGGAAGACACATTAATGGAGATGTCGGACGTTCAGGTGTGGCCAGCAGGGGTCAGCCCCTCGCTGGTCACAGTGGAGGACTCATCTCTAGAGGGCAGCAGTCGGGCTGATGACTCAGAGGGCGCCACGCTCTCCCTCCCCTGCAGCTTGGGTCGCCCGAGCAGCGGAGCCAGCGGGGCCAGCGGCTCCATCATGGAGCTGGAGGAGGAGGAGGAGGAGGAGGAGGAGGAAGGGGAGGTTGAAGAGGAGGAGGCGCCACAGGAGCCAGCAAGTGCACTGGCAGAAAGGGACAGGGTGAGGGCCAGTGGTGCTGTTCCCAAGGTCAACCTAAACGGCCAGCTGGGAGGTCAGAGGTCGGATGGGAGGAGAGGGGAGGGCCTTGCGGCGGGAGGAGGAGCAAAAGGAGGAGGTGCAGGGCTGGGTTCAGTGGAAGGGATTTCTGTTGTTGCAGGCCAACAGGTGTACGCCCAGCGGTGTGAGATGTCGGGACTGAGTCGGGCTACAGAGCACAATGGAGACAACCGGTATGTCGGCCTTAACTGTGGTCAGACTGACTTCACTGTGTGTCCTTTCCCACTGTCTGTAGTCAAAATGCACATCAACATATCGTCACTATGTTTTTTATTTCTTTCTCATTCTCTTTCCCTTTTGCTTTATTTGTATTTTGCTTTCCAGGATGGTGGGAGGCGGAGCATTTCAGCCCTATTTACCAGACAAGGACTCCCTGCAGGGCTGGGTTGGCTCAATGTCATCGGGACGTGACGGCAGCATGCCAGGCTTGCGTGTGGCCCAGGAGGCTCTGCTGACTCCGGTGTGTGACACGGGTTACTCTCAGGTGCTGCGTGGGCGCCTCCTGCAGGGCACGCAGCCCTTTGACAAGGGGCTGGGCTTCTCTCACCAGGAGGCGGGTCAACATGCTTGGGAACAGGAGCAGAGGCGGGTCCAGGTCAGGTTGCTACGCCGACCACCCCCCGCTTCCTGCGCCTGGAGATGGAACATTTTTGTCCATCCCTTTATCTTTTTTGAATTATCAGATGGGAAGACAGTCATTCAGTTTGATTTTTTGCTCACGACCATCAACTGTTTTAGTCTCACTTAACAAATGTCATCAAAATGGATCATTTTGATGAAGTCACAGAACCGGACCAGAATGATGTGTTGTGCGGTGCAACACATGGGAAATATCTGCAATGACAGATACTTTTTGGTTTTGTTTTACATTCTGATTGCAAACAATTTGTCATTGTAGCGATATGAATATTACGAATTTATATCTATATCTTAATTGTGTTATTTTTCTACAGAGAGAGGAGAAAGAGGACTATGCTGCTGAGGCGCAGTTTGTTGATGAACACGGAAACATGCTCGCTAGAAGGGTAAGTCTGTGTTTTCATCATTTACACTGAGTCACACACAAACACTGTAAACTCAGAAGCAGAGAGCGATTTACTGTGAATCAGCCACATAGCCTGGTGCAAAGGGTGGGAAATTAACAACAGCCACCAGCCAAATGAAAGTAAGGTTGAAAGTATTTTGTCCCCGTCGGCAGATACGAAAACAAACCAGCCATGATTCAGGGATGATTTCTGACTATAAGTCTTTGTACAAAACAACTAGCGCTAGCAGAAAACTTAGACATTACCATCCTTCATTTTGATTGTCATGATACATGGGCCAAGCTCTTGCACATTTGTGAACTGATTTGATATATTGAACATTGTGCTTTGGGGGGAGAAATGATGACGCTGATGAATGACTAGATGTAAAACAATGACAGCTGGTGAATGCTGGGACTGCAGTGAGCCATTATGGCTGGCAGGTGGTGAGATAAGTTAGTTTCCTGCTCTGGTTTCATGTAGAGGCTTCAGTAGTTAACTGGTCCGAGTGTTGTTTCCTTCCCTCCTCCCTCCCTCCTTGCTCCAGGTGGGGGTGGATGTGAGAAAGGGCGCTCAGTCAGTGCAGCGCTCCAGTCTGCGGAGAGTTAAACACTGAAATACACATACTACCCAGTCCTCCAGGTACGGGACACACAGCAAGCACTTGTGCATCCCAGTGCTTGGATAGATGCCACTATAGCGACATATTGGACTCCGTTAGAGCCTCACAGTCTCTCACATGCTGTTCTGTTCAATTTATGTTCAAAATTAGAGCTCTAGATTTGGCAATCAGTTCGCTTTAATAATCATTTTTGGACGGCCAAAATGATTTAGCCTGTGTTTTTTGTGTTGATGGTGTCTTTGTTTTCTAGGACCGGAAAGCCACTGCCAAAACATCCTCCACAAAAACACAACCAGACCGCAGAAGAAAATGATGAAGGAGGGGAGGAAGACTAAGACTAAGACTAAGACGTGCAAACTACAAAATGATAAACACAGAATCATCCTCAACGTGTGACCATGGAGAATCACAAAAGAAAAGAAGAGGAGAAAAAAAAGAGGAGTTCAACTTGTAGTTTTATAACATTTGTAAAGAAAAATATCAACTAGACTAAGGCATGATGATTCCTTTTATACAAAAAAAACATAAATGTCAGTAAAATAACCGAGAAAAAAAAAAAAGCAACAAAAAGTGCTTCCTGTGAACTGTAATCGCATGATGACTGCTGGTGCATGCCCTTTGACCTTTTGAACTGTCATTATCTACAAACTGAAGGGGTACAAGGTACGGGGCTGGCCCACGTGTGGGTCACGGGCCATTTTAAGGACCTTATTCCCCCCAACTGGAGTGGTTTGTGTCAGCAAGTTGAGTACAATAACACTACAGCCAAAAAAAAGTCCCTCAATGGATGGTTCTGTATACAGCTAAGCCTCTGCTGAGCCTACCAATGCTTCTTTCACTGGACCCTTTCCCCTAATATTCTCAATGTGATATATGCACTCTATGCTACGTGGACATGTGTCGGTGTGTGTATGTGTGCGTATGTGTGCGTGTATTCTTCTCTACCGCATGTGTTTCTTGCTTCTGGCTTGGCGCTGAGCCCTGCCCCATGATTGGCTTATTGCCCCTGTGATGTCACGGCGTGCTCAGTGCTGGAATGAGAAAGCCGCTGTGCTCCCCTGCTCGTGAGTGTTCCTGTCTGCGTGTGCTGACTTGTCTTTTTCCTCTGTGGATGAAGCTCGCTTCTTGTTATTTGTTTCTTTGGAACCTGTCCACCTCAGATTTAAGGATTGTTTGACTTCGGGACTGACACGGATCTGAATCTATTTCGCCCCTCGTGTTTTCAGGGGAAGTGTGTTTTTCAGACAACAGGAATGTTTTCTTTGGAAAGGGGTTGGTTGCTTGATTGCATTGTGCAGCAGCTCTGCAACACAGAGATTGACTTTTTCCTCCCTGGTGACCTTTTCTATCTTCTTCCGTCATTTCTCCCAGTAGCGCTCGTCATCTTGATCCACAATCTGTATCAGTAGCCTCTGACAATATGCAGTAAAAACACAGGCCTCTCCATCAGCATCTATAGCTCCTCCATCTAATGTTTAAAATTCTGTGTGCTCCCTCTTTTATCTGTTTGCAACGGCTGTAGCGCCGCACTGTCGAATTTTGGTTCATTCATTTGAAACTAAGTGAATGAAGGGGCGAAAACCTGGAGGATGTGATTCATGTGAGGATGTAGTGATTTGGAGGATTGGAAGTGTAAAATAGCATAATGCTACAACATGTGATTGTGAAAGGAACTGTGCAACAAGGTCAGACAGGTAGCACTGTGATTGTCTTATTAACACCGACCCCAGACTCGTGAACTGTGAAGACACAAAAACATTCACATATACAAACAAAAGCACAGCCACACACACACACACAGGCGATACACACACACACATAATAAGAAACATATTACACAATGAAATAATTATTGCCTGGTCAAGAGTGTCAGATTGGAGTATGCCACAGCAATAATACCGAACAACAGGAACACAGAAGATGGAGGCCAGAGTTGCGTATATCTCTATAAAGGATTTGATACTGAAAGGTTTAAATGACTGAGCTCCTCAGTGAAGACAGAAACTCCATCTGGACGAACAGCATTCGAGTTTGGCATCGGACAGCTGTGCTGTACCTGACTGGTTCCATCGACCTTGAAGTGAATGAGTCAGAGAGGACGCACTGATGCAAGATCAGATGACTCAGCTGTAGCAGTGTGGGAACGTGGAGGCCTGAGAGGGATTGTTTGTTTTTCAGCACTTAACGTAGCAAAATATAAACCAGGATATGTTAATTTATTACACTGATACCTATTAAGGAGTCTGCTGCTGCCGTAAGGTGGAAATCACAAAACTCTATTTTCTTTTTTCTGAGTAATTTAAGTTGTATTTATTAGTGTTTCACACATTTCAAAACTACATTGGCATCACTGTAAATCACCTCTTGTTCTCTTCATCTCTGAAACACTTACTTTATGCAGAAACCTAAAGGCAGCACTATGAAGGGGTCATATCACAGTAGCACACATTTCCTGGAAGTCAAAACACAATATTTATCCCATAAGTACTGTAAATGCTACTGTAGCCTGAATGTGCGAGTGAGACACTGAATGAATGAACACATTAGTTGCACATCACATAGATGCACATGTTTTCCATGCCCAGTCCGTGCACATGAGAGCCTCATCTGATATAGCACATGTTTATTACATATCACGTGTTTTCCACTGTTACTCCACTCAGGTTTTCAGTTCTGCTCAGTCAGAATCAAAATGTTTTTGTTTTTAAGTTCTGAGTCCTCCTCTCAAAGACGAGTGCGGGACGCAAAGTGAGTGCTTCAGAATAAGGCTTTGGTGTTGGGGTCGTTTGGGGCGGGATGGGGATGCACGCAGGGTTCTTGTAGATTTATGAAGAGGGATGGTTTGTCTGCAAGTGCGTTTGTGAGTGACTGAGTGTGTGTGTGTGTATGTGTATGTGTATTTGTGTGTGTGGTTGGGAGTTGTTGAATTAGATTAAGACCAAAAAGCACAGAGTGTTGAGTTTGTGTGGAGAACCCTCCTCTCTACCGCTCAGCTCCTGGAGCAGCGAAGGAGCCACAGACACCTCTGTTGGTTGTGTTTATCCTAATTCATTTTTACCACCAGAAAGGTATAGCTGAAGCATTACTCCCTCTACAAAGAAGCACACAAGGTTAAAGAAGACACTTTGAAGTAATTAATGAGGAACTAATTACCGTTCATTGTTTGCAGTTTCCTGTGGGCTGCTAGACAAAACACAGCTCTTACAGTGTTTTATTTGAGTTTGTTTTTGTTTTTTTACCCACTCTGTAATACTACCAAATCAGCTGTTCTCAAAAAGTCAAGCCTTTAATTCTGAGCTCTTGATGCACCCTCCGGGGGACAAACAAGACACCCTGTCCTTATATTTACAGCGTGTCTAATCTCTTAGTAGTTTTCAGATGATGGAGAGCGGTGACTCCCTCAATCACTGAAGTGACACACTCTCCCTCATCCTATTAGTTAGTCCTTATTTAAAGCCCTGTACTGATTCAGCACAAGAAAGATGCTGGATTCAGACGTTTTAAAGAAAATAAACTACTTCACCTTTTGTTAAAGTCAAAATCCTTAAGATAGTCATTTTTGATTAAAACCCATTTTTGATACTCTTAATGGCATTTTTTGCAGCAACAGCAAAATTGCGTCAGTATAGTATATATACAGTAATAGTTTTCATTGCTAGTAGACTTACTCACATGGGATTTTGATTGTGTGCCCACACACAAAGGATTCACTGGAACAGAGGACAAACACCAGTGAATGGACATGTCTCGCGTAATGTGCAAGACAGCATTCAGTCAATATCACTGAATCATGACATTGTTGACCGCCTTCTTCAGTCTTCACGATATGAGCATACAGTTTGTTTGAATGTGTTTAAACCAGATAAACAAGTTGCTCTTCTTTGTCATTTCTGAAAAAGTAGCCACCAAGGCAGTAGCTACCATTGAACAAATGTCTGGCGAAGGGTTTCAAGCTCATTTAGCACATGATGTAGGAGTTCCAAATTATTTTACAAAAAACAGTTTTACACAAATCATAGAACGTGGCTAGGTTTCTGAATATCATACAGGAAGTTTGGACTTTGGGGCTTATATCATTAAAACCCACTTGCCATTACCACCAGTAACCCCCAAATTCATCAAGATCGAAATATTAAGGATTATAACTTTAACTTTGAGTCATTATCCTTTTCTTTATCTTAAAAGACCAGATGTTGAATTTCAAATTCAATTATTTACATTTATCCACTAAGAGAAATGATGTATTAAGCAGTTTTATGTGAATCTGTTTCCACTCAGGTGGATTTTTACAAGTATAATTTGGCTTTGCAGGGTGAATTTAACTAGTCACTGATCTTCTGCAATGATAAATTGAACTTCACCATGTTGTGTTTTATGGTGTGTGTGTGTGTGTGTGTGTGTGTGTGTGTGTGTGTGTGTGTGTGTGTGTGTGTGTGTGTGTGTGTGTGTGAGTGAGTGAGTGAGAGAGAGAGAGAGAGAGAGAGAGAGTGATTGTGCTTGGTTCTATAGTTGGATCAGGGGGGAGAAGAGAGAGAGAGTCTTTACCAGGCATGTGACTGAGAGGATGTGTAACCTACGACAATGTACTAAAAAAAAAAAAAAAAGTATTGTAAAATTTTAACTGTTGCGAAGAATAGAGCTCACCTATACTCCTTTAGAATGGATACATGACAATGTAAACGCAATATCATATTACTCTATCCTAAGGAATGCAACTGCGCACATGCACAAAAAAAGATGTTTTTATGAAAATATATGTATAAATATATGACAAAATATATTTAATTAGAATGCTATGCACCCTCATAGAGTTGTTATGGATGTTCTTTAAGCATTATCTAGACTAGGCCAACGCCCATATCATGGGGAATGTAGAGGCTTTGTAGCTATGACCACTTGTTTTCTTTTGTATTGTCCTGGAGAGAGGATAAACAAACGTGAATATGTATACAAGCCTTTCAATCAGAGTCATTCTGACATGAAGATATGTATAGATCATCTTACCCTGTACACCAGCTCAAACCATTTACAAAAATTAATAAACAAAGATGTGACATACATGTTGTGTCTTGTTTTCGTTTTAAAAAGTTTTTTTCTTTTCTGTTTCATTTTATATATATGCTCTTATATTCAGGTATAAATCTAAATATGAACCTCATGTGATACCCTCTTTTCAGTAATGCATTATTTTAAGTGTCCAATAATTTCATAGGAAGTTTCCTGAGAAGAATTATGTAATTTTTATTTTTTAAGCTGTTGTTTCCTTAGACATTTCATTGTAAGTAGCAAATGTTAATTCATCATCATTTATTATTGAATATACTAGCAAATAATCAACTAAAGTAGAGCTGCAACTACATTTTATTTTCATAATGAATTAACCTACCAATTATTTTCCGGATTGATGGATCATTTGGTCTATGATATGTCAGTAAAAAGTGACGAAATTTACTTTCACATTAACAAAGAAATTATGGGGCAAAGAGGACCGTTTTCTACTGATCAACCATTTAGGTGCTCTAGATGTGTTTATAGGCAGTTATAGGTTTGCAGAATTCCCTTGAAAACCTACTTGCCCTGCAACAAATGTCCCCTTCTTGCATGACCAGCTCATTAAAAAACTCTGTAGTTCACTCTGTCAATTATTTTGGGGCATTAGTAAATGGAAGTTTGGGAAGTGAACATTGTATTTCCCTTGATATTAGTACATTACATATTCTTTTCCTGGAAACTTTAGTGAATTTAGTTCCATATCAGTGTATTTCTAGGAAGTTATATGAAAATATGGGGCCCATAAAGTATCCTCATAAAAATTAATTTGAATATTTGACATTTCTTGTGCAATTAGTCAGATTCATTCTTATTCTTCAGTTTGCATTATCTGTAGTTCACCGAGCAGCGTGCACATCAGGAAAAAAAAACTACAACTCCCACCATCTGTGACGCCCCCTGCATTCAGTCAATCACAGCTCTCCTCTCCACGTGGTGTTTTGTAGGAAGTCCCTGGGTTGTTTTGGATTTTCAGACCACGTGGAGGCACAAGGCAACTTTCCTCCGGTCTAGCTGTGGCTTCGTAGTGTTCTCCACACTTTCAGTGACCCAACAAGCAACGACCCCGTGTTGTGAGAGATGTCAGCGGGTAGTCAGACCACCAGGAGCCGGGAAATCCCAGCCGTCAGACGGGTCGCTGTCCACGATGCTGCTCATATGCCCCAGGACTACTCCACGACCCCCGGGGGAACTCTGTTCAGCACCACGCCAGGAGGTAATGATGTGCTGGGTCATGTCAGGAAGAAAGGAGTTAGAAAAATATGCAACAAAATGTAAACGTTATCAGGAAATAGAAGATACAAAGACAAGGAACAGGCCTGTAAAATGAGAAAAAACTGACTTAAGGGAAACACATACAGTGAAAATCAGAAAATGTGAAAGCTGCGGAAGAATTTTCAAGAATATATCATGTTGATCTGAAGACACGTAGCATGGTGGGAATAAGTTAGTATGACTTAGAGAACCAGACAGAAGCCTAATATTTCACTGATATTCCACCCTAGATGCTGGGCCACCCCATTACACAGTAGGTGTGTTTGCTTTGGTGTCTCTGTGTTGCCCAAACATTAAAGTGGATGGGGTTTAAATTAAGAGAAATCACCTTGGCTCTTGGTTTTGTACCACTAAAAAAGTAATACAAAGTGTGTAGTTCCTGTTACTTTTACAAACTTAGTTTTTTGTAGCTGCCTTGAAAGCAGCTCATTGTAAAGGAAACACTTCTGAGAGCCAGACTATAGGTCTTGTCCACAGTTGTGTCATGTTTTTCTGTTAATGTTTGATAGTGATGGCTAAGAGCAGTTCTTTGCACCCATATCCTGCAGTCTGTAGATTTCACAGACCTTTCACTGCCCATAATTGTTTTCCTACATGTACTTTGCACAGACACTTTTTACTAAAGTCTTGGTGACTGTTGTATTTGCTTTGTACAGACAGCATGTCACAGTCTCCCTGTCTCTGATTAAAGGACCAGTGGAAAGACTGGAGTACAAAACAAACCATCTAAAAACATGCATTCATTTTGTCCTCTCCTAACAGTGACTTTGTGCGGATTTATTTTTTTGATGCAGAAGTCGGTGTACAGACTTGATTAACATTTTTAATTTCAATATAATTTCATGTATGTTTGTCAGTGACAATAAAATATAATTATCTTAATATAATTTTCAATTTCCTTGCTTAGATAACATGCACTGAAATGAATCGAGAATTGCCAATCACATCGCATGAATAGAGGTATGCTGCATTGCGCAAGTTAGGCTTGTGACTGGTTAGGTCAGATTTAATCATTATAATTGCTTTGAATTTTCAAGATCAGATTTGTGACATGTTGTGCTCTTAGCAAGTTTGTTTTAAACCACAATTAACCGTGTGGTTTCTTCAACTTTCACTCAGAAGCAAAATCAGCCTTTAACCTTGAAATAAATAATGATTTGACATTTATCGTGATGATTATCGATATCGACTGATATGGACATTTTTTATCGTGATAACATTTTTGGCCCAGCCATGTTCGTCAGCCTGCTTCCCTCACTGAAGACTGCAGCTGATGGATCTGGTGAATCAGAGTTGTTTAATGTTACTTGACTTTCGTACCAGTCAGTTATGAACAGCACACTCCTGACTTCGGTGTCAGTATCCTGAGGCTGTATATTACTTACACAATCAAGGACTGTATGGTCAAATATAGGACTGTACTCACTCATACCCTATTAATAGTCTTGTTACTACAGCATGCTGTTGTTGAGCTGCAGCAACATGTTTACTAAATGTGGGCTACACTGGGCCACAGTGGTTACATTTAAGTGGAAGAAGAGAGCTGATAACTGCCTTTATGTATTATAAATGCAACATATTTTTTACATGGATACATGGTAGTTTCTAAAAATGGGAAAACCTTCACAAGCAGGCATAGTTTTAGCTTTGAGGAAAAAAAAACAATATAAAACATAGCATAAAACAAAATGACAAAGTGTAAATTTATAATAAATTGTTGATATGAATCAATAATGATAATAATCCAGGAAATGTAATAGTTGGAACCAAAAAATCATTTTAAGGGCTAGTTTTATTTCCTCAACATGGAAGCAGCAGCAGCAGCAGCAGCAGATAAGACGAACAAATAATGTCACGAGTGCCAGTTTCACCCTCATCAACACAGTCAGTTGTTTGGCCCACTTGTTCAGTGTTTCGCTCAGACACTTGAGGCCTTGAGAAATCTCCAGTATGGTGATAAAAGTAAAGAGGAAAATGTTTTCCCTTTTGCTTTTGTGAGAAAGTTGACGCCGAGTGCACATGTCTATCATAACTGATACTGTGTTCTGTAACATTACCAGGTGGGACGGTTTTTACTCAGATAAAACAGAATTGGGTCACTGAAGGTGTGTTGACATCACTGATATGGATAACACAAAAAAATAGGCCACTGGTCATGGGCATGTATGGGCATGTATACAGTCCACTGAAGAGACACTATGGAAAACCAACATAACAGGAAGTTACTGTAGCCTACTTTCTGGGTGTAGGAGTAAGTCCCCTGAATCCTGTGGAGGACTTTAATCTAGAATATTTTTACTTTTATTTCATTTTATATTGTTAATCAATCAAATTCAACTAGTTAAACGTGTTTAATGTTAAAGTTTACAACTGAATTTATTTTATTTTATCCTTTTCAGCTTGTTATAAGTGTTTAATATCAATGTTTTTTTTTATCTTATTTTAATTTAGTTTATTTTTTAAGTCAATTTGACGTGTTCATCACAGTTATCTTCTGTGGTAGAGTAGCTCAAACAAAAACTTTAGAAAATACTCAAAATGAACACAGCTGCTCTCATATAGCCTTATTGATCACTTGAAATTTCACTACACTGTATGCTGTTTGTTTAGCAAGGCAAAAATATTGACAAACAATTAGCAAAAAGCTAACTTTGGTTCCTTTTGGTGCTGCCCCCCGCAGGTACCCGCATCATCTACGACAGGAAGTTCCTCCTGCAGTGTCGGACGTCTCCTCTGGCTCGTACGCCTCCCAACCTACCGGACATCCCAGGAGTCACCAGGCCGCTCAAACCCAGCAACTCCGCTGTCACAAACCAGCCCGAACAGACGCCTAACAATAACACTGACCACAGCCTCTGTACAGGGAGCCCAGGTAAATATGTCTGTAATGTGGAAAAAAAAAAGAAAAAAGAGATGAGCTGCAGCGCTTTATGTGTTTTCTGTAAATGTGTATTTCCCTCTACTCAACTGCAATATCTTTTCTGTTCTAGGAGAAGATGCCCAGTTTGAAATGGACATCTGAAGAGAGTCGCCTACAAGGATAAAAATAATGTTCATTGTTTTTGTTTACTGGGATAAGTCCAATTGAAACGAGAAGCCTAGTCTTACTAAGCTGTGTAATCTTCTTTCAGATTTGTTTTGAAAACAAGGCGGTATTTTTTGTGAACGTGTTAAAATGTAAAATACACAACAACACTAACTGATGCACCTGACTTTGTATGACCGGTGTCATATACAAGTAAGTGTACGTTTTGTTAAAATTAAGCCATTCATATTTTATGTGATTTGACTCATTTCATGAGTTTAAAAACGTCTTTAAAACTTTCAATGTTAAAAAATTAAAAAAAAAAAAAAAAATGACATTATGAGCTTTACTTTGTAATGTAACAAATGTAACAGTTAATGACCTCTGCAAAGGAGGTTATGTTTTCACCCGCGTCTATCCGATGGTTTGTTTGTTTGTTGACAAATTATGTATCAAGTATTGAACCGATTTGCACCAAACTTAGTGGAGGGATGGGTCATGGGCCAGAGAAGGACTCATTAAAGTTTGGTGCCACTCCGGTTAAAGGAGCGAATTCAGGAATTTTACTCTCACTTTTGTCAACATTACTGGATAGGACATTTTTCAACATTTTTGTCAATTTCTCAGGAAATGATACAGTTAGATGTGCCATTATTTGGTGCTGACATGTAGACTTGAGGGGAACTGTAGACAGTTCCTATATAAAAAAAAAAAAAAAGTTCAGGGAAGCAGCTGTGCATTGCTCTTTAACAGACATGGGTTAACCAGAGATACATTAGTCCAGATCACGTTCATCCTTCAAATCTTTTCGCTTGTAAAACTGTAAAACATTGTTTCAAAACACTTCAGGCACACATATATACAATATTTCAAGAATAGTCAGGTGTTTGTGTTTTCAGGTTTAGCAACTTAACTCTTGTATAAACCCTGTAATAAAAACCACTGAACACTTTGTTCAAGATAAGAAATAATTTATTGTATTACTGCACATAGTACATACACAAATGGATCAATGTGACCCGAACATCTTAATAAAGTTAAAGCGCTTACACTATTCTGACATCTGCATTTCTCATTTCTATGGCATTAAAAATTTCAGTTAATTGAGCATAAAAACACAGCTTGTATATAAAACTGTGTGTGTACAGCTGTGTTTGTGAAACTTCAGTAGTGCTTCTGTCAGTGACCGTATTGTGCTTTTAAGTTGATCTTGACTGGATCAGCCCACTACCATAATCGCACCTTATAACCTTGAATTATAGCTGATCCACTTGTAGTCCAAGGCACAAATGTAGGTCACCTAATCTACAAAAAGTACCAATAATTTACAATTCTTTAATTTAGAGAGCAGTGTCCAGTATATACAGTAGTTCCCTTCTTTCATCTCCTGCATCGCAGCAGCAGCCTCCGTCCCAGTGTCAACATGGACGTTTCTGTAAAGTGCCTGTGGACGTACATCCACTTTGTGCCTCTGAGCAGCTCAGTACTCTTCTGTGCCTGTGACTCAGTGGCTACAGTCCAGTGTTTCTCTGACTTCCAACCTTTTTAAAAGGTTTACAAGTCTCTCGCTCAGTTGCAGCCGCACTCCTCCACCACCATGTTCTCGTGATGCCTCATGACCATCTTTCCGTTCTCGTAGTACAACATGGAAAGCGGCGCCAGGCGTGTTGGCACACAGGAAACACACGGCACCTTGTCTGGGTGGTGAAGCTTCAGCAGGCTCTGGATGAACAAAGAGAAGAAAATGACTGATCAGAACAAATCCAAATAGAGTATGAGTGTATTATTATTATTATTAAGTATATATTGCTGCTGCAAATCAAACAAAAGTAATTTTCCTTAGTCTTACCTGCATGTACGCATGGTTGGTTGGGGTGAAGGTCTCGTCTACTGGTGTAGGGCAGCTCCCTTCACAGCGATAGGCGTTGTACTGTTTTGGATAAACAATCCACTCGCTCCAGCCGAGCTTCTCAAAGTCCACCCACATGTCCACCTTCCTGCAGAGAGGACCCTTCTTCTCCTCCTCTCTGGGTTTGCCAGCAAGAACAGCTTCGGCTACTCTCTGTCTGTGCTGCTGGGTCTGGTGATGCCTCTTGGCCCTGTGGCTCCTCACACTGGAGCTTGAGCCAGCCGTCACCCGCTCCCTGTCCAGGCTGACGTACTTAGAGTGCTCTGCTGTGCGGATGAGCGTTGGCATTCGCTGGCCGTTAGGGTTCTGCCTGGAGAAGACCACCATCATGACCTGGTCTGCTGTAGGGTGTTGTACTCTCTCCTGCTCTTCCTCCTCCTCTCTCACCTCAGCCTCATCCTCCTCCGTCCTCTGCGTGGAGTGCTCCTGCTGCAGCCAGCGGCTCAGCATCTCTGTCATGTTGAACACCTTCCAGGAGGAGGGGGAGACCATCGAACTGGGATGAGATCTCAGGCTGCCCAGGAGCAGCCTGCTCTCCGGGCAGTGCATGTCGGAGCACTGGTCCCTGTGGGAGTGGTAGATGTCCACTGAGGCTCGGGAAGACTCGGTGAAGGCGGGCAGACGGATGCGAAGTTCAGCCAGCTGGACATTGTCGCTTGCAGACATGGAGGACATGTCAAAGGTGATGGACCACCTCTTGCCAATCTGATGGCAACCTGAAACAAGGAAGAGTAAAGAAAATTGGTTAGCATTATTCATGACTTTGATTTCATGATTGCAACACCAATTTCTTGTGTTTCTGCAAATGTGTGATGACCATAATATTGCAGCTCCTATAAACATCACAGCTTTTATTCCCAGTTGGGGGCTGCATAAGTGCTAAAATACATTCATCAAGCAGAGTTTGATTAGACAAATGATTAAATTATAGTGAGTGAAATAAATCTACACACACCCACATTTTGTAGGTGTGTCAAAGAAAACCTAAAGAACATTTTGCTCAAGGGTTTTGCAATGGAGTTTAATACCTTCACTTTAAGGTCTATATTTTTTTCATCATGATGATATTTCAAGTGTACAATCAAAACTGAATGAGATAAATGATTCATACAGAGCAGCCTTCTACCCTGAGTTTTAAGTAGAATAACATATAGCCTATGTGCATTGCATGCCATTAAAGGGAAATACTGTAAAGCACAGCCACGCTATAATACCAATAAATTCCACTCAAAAAAAAACAAAAAACTTTTTTTTTCTTCTAATGTTGAATACTCACTTTTAGCGACATGGCTGATCACAGAGTCGGAGTCATGCAGACCGGCGTTGTCCTCCGTCCTGGTCTGGCTCACGGTGGCAGCCGGAGTCCCGGCCCGGTCCTCGGTCAGCATAGTCCGGTAGAGCTGCATCATGTAGAGGGGCAGCTTGCTGGTCTGCTGCCGCTGCACGGTGCGCCTGGAGCCTATCCCACGGAGCAGTGCGTCAGGGTGCATCCGAGGAGAGAGACCCAGAGCCAAATCCACCAGAAGAAGAAGAAGCGCACAAGAGAAATCCGCAGCTGGTCCCTTCATAATTCCCAGGTGTGGTGTTGTCTCTTCCAGAGGTAAACCGAAATGCTCCAGGTGAGATCCTGAGACTCTTGTTTTATAATCACACACCTCTGTCCTGACGTCCCTTTGAAGAGATGTGTCAAGCCGCAGATGGCTGAAGGGCGTGTGTGTGATCCGCGGGAGCGCTCAAAGACTTTAATGTGACAAGGTCGTTGTGTATCGAAACCAACGGGTCTTTGTTGTCTCGGAGGTGTGAAACTATAAAAGTCCACCACTCTGATTGTTGTTGTTGTGTATATTACAGATCCCTTTGATAAGAAGGCATGACAATAATATTAGTTAAGGAGATTACGAACTGCTCGACTGCGCTGTGATTAATGGGAAAGCAACAGGGAGGGGAGTTAATCAGAAATCACTTTATGTAGCGCAGGCCGTGACCGTGTTGGAGCCTGTTGGGACGGAGTGAGAAAATTTATGATAAAGGGGGGCATGTTAGGGTCAATATGATAAAACTCCAGCGCAACCTTTTTATGTTTTTCATGCTGAATTTTAATTATTTGTTTTCTTTAATTGTATTTTTGCTATTTCAACTTGTTACTTTTGAAAAGTATACAGAAAGTTACACTGGCCTAATACTGGCACTTTAAGACTATTAGGTACATTCTCAGTGCTAATTAAACATAAATAAGTAAAATAATCATTCAACAAAGACAGTATTGAGACAATCGATTTGTGTTTCAAAAACTAACTAGTTTTGCCCAGATGTAACAATAATACAACTTTGAAATTGAACTGAACAGGAGAATATTTGAACATTTTCAGTAGATAAAATATAAAAACATAATGTCACTTTTTTTTTCTTTTTTGGGGGGAAAAAATAAAAAATAATGTGTGTGTGGATCCAATGGTAATACTTTTAAACTCTACAAATCAATATTTAGATGGGTTGTATGAATGAACACTTTTGGATATCTTAAATGAAAAGATTTGGCACATTACAACACGTGTCTAAAAACTGCAGTGATAATTGACAGCAGCATTAAAGGGACATTAATGACGCCAGCTGATCGTTGCCCATTCATAAAACAAACTGCACACTTGACCTCAAAAGAAAGAAAAAAGAGCTGATGGCAGACTACAGAGCTTTGATCCTTTTTGATGTGTGAAAAGAATTAAAGAACTGAGGTTAATGTGCCATTAGTATTAAACTACTCCTGTTCTTTGAAAGTTCTTATTGTCATATCATCAAATAAAACCTTAGTTCTTAGTTTCAAACTATAATTTGGTGCACGTTTTGTGGTTTTGGCTGAAAGGAACTAATGAAAAAGTCTTGCAGATTTTGGATGCATCGGTCAGCTTTTAAAAGTTTATATTATCATTTTATGGTGATTAAAATGAAACTAGTATCATATATGGCAGCCTATATTTGAGAGCATTTTAAGTAGCTAATAAAAGCAAATGTGTAGACTGAGTGCAAGTCAGAGCCACAGGAAGTGAAAACCTTTAAATAAATAAAGTGCACTACTACACTGCAGTAGCCTATCACAGGGCTTTATAAATTATTTATAAATGATAAAACTTGAAGTTAAATATCCATCACTGTTCACCAGAACAAGGCAAAACAGTACACATATGTCTTTCATCTCTCAGGTATCCTGGGAATACGTCCCCAAACCATGTTATTTAATGTATGTTATTTTATTTTTTAAGTTCAAACATTTGTGAAGCCACAAATAAACCGTCTGTACTGGCACGCGCACCTGCAGCACTGGGAGCTAATTAAAGCGTTTCCTCTCAGGTGAAAACTGTTTGTCCCGACGAGTCGCGCGGGCCGACATGGACTTCGACCAGTTCATTTGTTTGATTTTTCTGGCAAGTCTGAGAATTTCCGGAGGTAACAACGTTTTAAATTTTAGTATTCAAGTCATGTGTGGGACTTTAGCCAAAGTATGTGAATGTAACCTTCTGCTAAAGCGTTCATTTTCACTTAAATAACCGGCAGGGCTGTTTGGATAATTTGTTTAGGTTATAAATGTAAAGGAAGCAAAATGGCGCTCACTCCTGGGCCCCATTTTTCATTCATGACATAGATGAATGGTCAGGCCTACAAAGCTTTTTTCGAATTCAAGTTCGAAAGTTTCAATTGGAGTTACTTCATCTTTCCAATGAGGTTGACAAATTCAAATCCAACCTGTGTATCTGTGTCCTATTCTAAAGGAGAGTGTCAGTTTACCAGTCAGGCAATTTTACATAGGCAACATTAGACACTTTGAGGGCCTTCAAGTGAGCACCTGCCAATGTTCCTATTTCTTTGTGCCAGATTTAGAATAAAATTAATTCAAAAGTGGTTAAGAGGCAGGAATTGGGTTTTGGAGCCTTTGAAGCTGAACCAGAATGGTTCATTTGACCATGTGCAAGTGCTTGTTTCCACAGTGATTTTGTTTGGCCTTTCTTTTATGTAGCTATATGCAATTTTTTTTATTTTTTTAGCTCCAACTCTGTCTGTAGTGTCTGTAGTTTTTCTTTTCTCCTTCCTGTTGAAGGGATTTCTGGATGTTTTTCTGTAATCTGTGGGTTTAAGGAATAGAGGGTGTATGTTGTACTGGTTGTAAATCCCTTTGGGGCAAATTTATGATGTGATTTTTGGACAGGAACTTAAGGTGGGTTTCTGTAAATCCTGAACCATGTCAATTTGAGTTGTTTTTCTTTTTTCTTTTTTCTTTTGAATCCACGCTGTCCCAGATGTTAGCCATAACAAGGAACTCAGTACAACAGGATTTGTCATGGCTTACGCAAATTAAACCTCTGGCTCTGGTCACTTGGCAGCTTTATTCGATTACATTTCTGTTTATTGTTGTAAAATATTGCTTAGCCCTAAGTTGCTGTGTGGCTCCAAATCACAGGCACAATAGTGAAGGAAAAAAGAATATGTAATGTTTGCATGCTGTTCTGTTCTGTTGCATTTCCTATTATGTGTCAGTGGCTCAGAAGACTTCAAAGACTTTCCAAGCGGCTCCCTAAATAGCCAAACCTTACAGAAAGTATCATTTCAGTGGCCATCAAATTGTCAGAAGAAATCACCTTTCCAATCTAAAAGTGTGTGTCTAATTTTAGACAAATTAAACAATTAATCTAATCAGTGGCTTTTACTCAATCAGTGACAGAGGCCTTTCATATTTTCTGAGCTTCCATCTTATTTCTTGTTTGTACTTTTTTATACTGTCTTCCTCTCCCTGTGTGTTTGTAGGACAACTATTGGGATGCCATCAAGGCCAGTGGCAGTGTGATGATGGAAACTGCATCCCTGATGTGTGGAGATGTGATGGAGATGGAGACTGTCTGGATGGATCTGATGAAATGGACTGCGCTGGTAGATATACTTCCTGTCCTTCTACAAAACATATTCTTTGCACTAATATATCATTTAGATTATGTCTCGAAGAGAGTCTAAAATATTTAACAAGCAACAACTTTTAATGTAATCAGCAGCAATCGTATGGGATACATCTGCCGCTCCTGAAGTTAAAATATAGGTTGTATTGAGTCATAGGTAGATAAGAATAAGTTTCTATTTAATTAATTCACTCTTCCCCTTCAACTTTATGTGCATTTCCTTTCATGGTGCCTTTTATTTTCTTTCCTGCAGCAGCATCAGGTTCCCCTGAATGTCCGGCAGGTCAGTTTCCTTGCATGGACTCTGTCGGCTGTGTCGACACGTCGGCCCGTTGTGACGGACAAAACCAGTGTCCCACCGGCTCTGATGAGGAGAACTGTACAACCACTTACGGCTGTTTGAACTCAGACTGGACCTGTCGAAACCACATGTGTATCCCCAAAGAGCTGCACTGCAATGGACTGTACGACTGTATAGACAACTCTGACGAAGTGGACTGTGGTGAGAAAGATGAGCAGGTTGAATGCCACAGGATGTTTCAGTCTGTGTTCATGTATGGCACTATTGAGTGAAATATATTTTGAAGGATCTCTGGTGGCATCTGCTGTAGCAGTGCAGATAGTAATGGTTTCATTTTTCTGGGTATTGAGATGCCTAACCTTTAGGATATATTGCTATATTAATATTAGGACTTAAACAAACACTCCTCAAAAAAAAAAAAACAACCAGCCCAATATGAACAGAGTCTGAGTGAACATAGTGTGTAGAGAAACTGTTGATTTGAAGCCAAAGCGCTGATTATTTGTCCTATCACAGGTCCGTGTGTTGAAGGCAGCACACGGTGTCCTGACGGGACATGTCTGTCTCCTGAAGAGAGGTGCGACGGGCAGGTTCACTGCTCAGATGGCAGCGACGAGCCCATAACCTGTGGTAAGTTTTGGCACTGATTGAATAAATTTCACTGATAGGTAGTTTGTTGCAGCATTTTCTGACACTTTGCTGCTGCTGATGTTTATCAATCTCAAGAAACTCAATGCACTCAAATGCATGTGTGTGGATTTCTGTAATCGTGAGCTGTTTCATGCTTCACATTGCACCTCTTGCAGGTCGTATTTGCTCTATGAAGAACGGCGGCTGTAGCCATGTGTGTGTCGACGAGCCCTGGGGCGCTCTCTGTGCCTGTCCTGTTGGATATAAGCTCTCTGCCAATGGAGCAGTGTGTGGAGGTTTGTGGGTTGTGAAAAAACTGTTTACTTTAAATTTTATTGGCAGGGTAATTGATTTTATAAGGGTTAGATTACAAAAACACCTATAACAATGGAGTGAAAACAAAATACAGCAGTCTGGAATGGCTCTGCCCTTTGCAGGACCATCCCGGACCCTTTACCCCAGTTACATCAGCAAAATGAAAAGATTCAGAAGCATGTTGAGTTTTCAGAGGAAGCTTTCACAAAGTTCCCTTCCGAAGACTGTTTCACAGTCCTGGGAAGTCTGTTTTTGATGAAAAACTCATGCTTGTGAAGCTAAAACCCATTTTCCCTCCCCAGATTTGGATGAATGTGCCTCACCTTTGTCTCCCTGTACGCATCACTGCACTAA